TTAAACTGCAACCTCGCTTATGGTTAGTGGCAAGGTTAGTTTATGGTTGCATGCATATCAGAAAAGTCAAAGACGTGCTAGATTCAACTAAAATGCTGGCTCAGACCATACGACAAAAAGATTGAATGGACGATGCAATAAACCACTGGTTCTAACCACTTTTTTTCATACGTACGAGTAGTGGTCGCATCACTCGCATGGGCCACGGATATAGTACGAGTATATTGATAATTATTGTAAGTATTGTACGTGACAAGGTATGCCTCGCGCATCCGCGCTCGGCACGTTCTTATTTGGAAAGGTCCTAAATCCAAGGTCTGACGGTGGGACATCCGTCCAAAGCGTATTTAATTTAGTTTTCATGGAGTGGTCAACGCGTATATTACTGCACTAATTGATAACTCGCGATAACAATGATTGCATGATTGTATCTCGTATAGGAAATGTGCGAGAACAGTTGTGCAGTAGCAGACCACCAGTACTTTACCTGAAGACGTCACTGTATTACGACTCCATCTTCTATACTTCTATACTGCTGATGTATATTTCCGTAGACCACGTATATCGGTCGTGTGGAATTTCGCGCACAAAAGGGCTACATAACTTGCCATTTTCCTGATAACCTCTTCATGTAGAGTTACGAAGTCCTGTTTTATGACGTTGTATTTCCACGGCTGGACTACATGGTCTATTGAGCTATATAATGCCGCGCTCGGAGTTGAAAACCATACGTTCGGTCATCTTTCTGCCCACCGCGGCAGGTAAAACTTACGTACACATTTTTTGACGAAGCCGAAACGGCACCAAACAATTTCTTGCATAGAACCGTAAGGACCTGTGTTCTACCCACCAAGAACCAAAACGTTTGAAGTATTCGGATATTCCTTTAGTATGGGCAGTTCCGAAGCAGTTCTGCATGTACGTATTCCGCCGAGCCCGAGAAAGTCGATGATTTAAGGTCATCGCTTGGCGCTTGTTGGTGTCGGCTTTGCATTTCAATGAACGTAGATGGCAGTTGGTTCGGTCCCGGTTGCAGGGCGCGATGTGATTGCTGCTGCCAAGCCGGTTTTAGGATGTTTTGCGTGGCCAGACTAAACGTCAACGGATTTCCATGCTCTTACTTGGACGGAAAAAAGCGCTGAAGAGGACGAAGTTAAGTATGGCCTGCATTCTTCGACGGAGGCTTTTAACTATGTTGCATCGCACAGTTACTGCGTAGACAGCAAAAGCTGAGTTATGGTCGACTGCGCTTTAAAATCGATCACATGCCGAATTCTCAAGGTTAAGTAGAATTTACGAAGCTGCTTATGTTAAGCACAAAAAGGGTTACGCATGTACTACCCGTATGTACTACCCGTTCTTTATGGCCCATAAAGTACTTACAAGGGGCCCACCGCCTCCCCTCTCATAAAAATTTCATATTCTGTTCGAAGACAGAACATGTATGGGGGATACTTAAAAAAACACTTTTGTCGGCAATGGTCCAGTGGGCGTGGCCAAAAACAAATTTAAGGGCCGTATGTATTATCAATGTACATTGTATTGGCAACACATTCGGCACTCCGATCAGTGTTATCTGTTATTACTGCATTTGCAGACGTGCTTCTTGGCTACTAATTCTTAATTTTGGTTTTTACAACATCCAATTTGCAAAAATCTAACCGGGTAGTCGATTTGATTTGATTGCACATGGCCAATGTAAGTATGTAAGGATTCTCATTAAAAGGTGTTCATCGTACTGGTGAAAACCTGTGCTTTGACTTTTTGTTCGCTAAATTTTACTTTTTACTGACTGGCTTGACAATGTCAAAGTTTTGTCAACTCTTTGTACTTGCTAGCATTACTGCTACACGTCACGCGAGAAAGGTGGGCTCGGAATTTACTTCCTTTGGGCAGATATGCCGAACATGGCCGGAAACGGCCCCAAGCCATCAAACAGAGCAAAAGCACAAAAAAAAAACAAGAAAAATTTTACTCTGGAAAGTGACACAAGTTAGCACTGTACATTCTCCAATTTATACCAGTTCACAAATGCATTCAACTCTAACAGAGAGACCACTATTAAAGGGGGCGTGTCGTGTGTCGTAATACCCGGATTCCTCTGTCCGTCGGAATCCATTCCATTACTCCTACACGTCACGCGAGAAAGGTGGGCTCGGAATTTACTTCCTTTGGGCAGATATGCCGAACATGGCCGGAAACGGCCCCAAACCCAAAAACCCAAGGCAAAAACACAAAGATGACTGGAGGCGATCCAATACCGCGTAATGATGGCAACGAAAAGTGTGATGAATGTGCAACGATAAAGCAGGCCGATTCCTTGAATTCAAGGAAAACAGCTTATCACGATACCAAAGGCGCGGGATTCCGCGCATTGTTGGGCATTCGCGAAAGTAATACCAAATTAGAAGATCCACGAAAGTAGTAGCACTGCTCTGGCGGAAATCACGCCAGCGCAATACGGCATTTAAGGATGCATGCAGTCGCCAGACCGCATGCATAAAGCAGGGTGCAAGGAAGTCCTGTCGCATCCCACGGAATATGGCAAGGCAAATGGAGGTTTGTAGTCGGACTGGGAATTCCACAGTTTGACCTAAATCCATGCAGATTTTAAATTCCATACAATGTACGGAAGGCTATAAGCGCAAAAGCATACGCTAGCAAGTATTTAAGAAGGTAACGAATATACGCAACGAGGCTGAAAAATGTGCAATGTAGTATAAAAGCAGGCAGGGACAATGCGAAGCGGACACAGGATATGGGGGAATAATAATGCATGAAAAGGTAACAGCACGAAGCAGGCGAATCCGGGTCAAAAGTTAAAGAAAACAATCGTCTCGGTAAAATGTCAGGCAAAGGTAACCAACCCGGAATTCGACAGGTCATACCGAATGGAGGTCATTTTGCCGACTGCTCGGTGCAGGCCGTGGCGCGATGGTCCTTCCGGCAGAAACCGCAAATGTGTGGAAAACGGCAAGGGATATCCCGGCAGGGTCTGCCTTCGTTGTAGTTGAAACAGCAGTAATTCGGAAAACGGGGTTCCACGGTAGCTGTGCGCTTCGCCTGTCCAAAAGTGACCTTTGGGTTACAAACTTGAAAATCCGACGTTCGACGGGAATCCGCCGAAAAATATGCGTCAGCCGTGGGGTCGCGATGCGTAATATCAGAAAGGTCAAACTCCTCAATCTGGGCGGCTTCGCGAAACTCGCAGTCAAATTGCACAATGGCTTCGTCATCATACATGCATCGTTTGCGAGCCAAAAAGACTTGGTTTTCCAGGAATTCGATCAGCGTAGGTAAAGCGTTGGTCTTTCTTGCCAAATCCAGCGCAGCCATGATGTTGCCGGCAACAACTCGTCGCGTGAAATTTCATGCGGCTTAACATCTTTAGCGGCCTTGTGGGTTGCTTTCACGAATGGAAGCGTATGCGGTCTGGATAGAGTTTGGGCTTGAGGGGAAGTACGGGAGCAGTTGTTGGATTTGCGGTAAGCGCTAACTGGACTCCCGGAACTCTCGTCGTCCGAAGCTGCCTGGTGGTGGTAGCTTGTACGTGTTATTGAACGGCTCCGACGGAGGGAAGCATCGTCGCTTGCGGATGCCACGAGAGGAGACTTGGGAACGTGGGGCATAACAAACACCTCAAGCTTGTTGCGATCGCGGGCGTTTGTGATAAATTCCAAGTTGTCGGGGAAATTCTTGACCTTTGCCAATAAGATGACATCGTCGATGGAGTTGTATCCGTTGTCGTACAGCTGGGAGACAGACGTCGCGGAAATTCCGATGGCTGTAGCTAGGTCAGATCAGGAGTCACCTTTACCTGCTGCAGCATCAGTTTCCAAATCCAGAGATTCATCCGGATGAAACAGGTCATAAAGCCGCTGGACAAGAGCAGGTTTCGTTTCATCGAACGCTTGCTCGCCTTCAACTTCGACGATGAGCCGTTTGACCTCTGTGAGATTCAGGCGGCCCAACTTCTTCAGATTTAACGTGCGAGCTTCATCGAGTGTAACAGACATGATGATAAATAAATGCGAAAACGGTAACGTAAAAAACACAGATCGAGAATTTCTTAAAATTTTAATTTCAAAAATTTTACTCTGGCAAGTGACACAAGTTAGCACTGTACATTCTCCAATTTATACCAGTTCACAAATGCATTCAACTCTAACAGAGATACCACTATTAAAGGGGGCGTGTCGTGTGTCGTAATACCCGGATTCCTCTGTCCGTCGGAATCCATTCCATCGCCCGCGTAGTGCAGCACCGAGAAGAATTTAGAGGTACTGTAAGCAGATATAAATGCTATATGTATGTATTGCCAGTGAACTAACAATACATACGGCAGTTAATTTGGTTTTGGCCACGCCCACTGGACCATTGCCGTTGAAAATACTTTTTGAAGAATTCCCAATACCTACTCTGTTCATGCAAATTACAAAATTTTTTGGAGGGGGCAGGTGGTGACTGGGCCCTGGTAAATCGTCCGCTCCACCCACCATTTGCCCATTTAAATGACAATGCCCGGCACCAGCCCGCCGTTTGCCGTTTGATCGGCATGATACTTGGTCGTAGCATTCACTTCCCCACTCGTTTCCAGGATCGGCTGTTTCTTCGGACACCCACTCAACTGGTTCTCGGTGTACATATAGCACCGCGCCAGCCATGGTGGAGAACGCCGCAAACCGGTCTCCGTGATGGGAGCAGGTCGGCGTATCGAAAAAACCCTCTACCCCGATCGTTGCTTTTACCCGACACGTGGATTTGATTGTGATCGATACAGTAGGTATCATCGATGAACGAGGTTCATGATGAATTGCAGATCGTTGACCTTTAATTTTAATAAGTATGACACGCGCCATACCGGGCTTTCTTAATCCTGGCGGAATATACTACGATGTGTACTTTGCCTTTTTACGCTGCCAGGAAGCTTTTAACGGTAGTATAATAGCAATAATTTCTGTTGCGTTTCCATAGATAATTTTGCAAATTTAGCAGACTGACGCTGTGCAGGTTCCGTTACAGACGTTGACTTAACGCTCTGGCGTCAAACGAATACAACTGCGCTGGAATGCACTGGAAAGGGTTAGTCAAAGCTAGACAAATAAGGCTACATGTCAACTTCTACTTTGCTGTGCGCCCAGATTGCGGCTCCTTATTTCACTGTTTGGGTTTTCAGTGCAGAGATCTTATAGCTGGATAATGGTTCTCACAAGTCAGTTTTCAACCAGTTTGTGAAAATCCTTTATGATATCCTTATCACTGATGGAGGCTGACCTTAAATATGTCGGCTTTGCTGGCAGCGCAGAGCACTTGTGCAGTATCTAGAAAAGCCAAATTTATAACTTATCAGTCTAAACAATGAGCCTGTAAGACAGTTAGTAACTGACTAGTTGTATGTATGAGGGAGTTTGTTAACGTTGTAAGATTCAAAATGGTTTGGTTTAACGGAGGATTGATTGATTTTCTCATTTTACCGGGCACTGCAGTCGGCGAAGGGAGGATTTGGATGTGACCGATGGTTTTACCTTCCGACTTACGGATCTATCATCTATGTACATATGTAGTTCGGATGTCGAGGGACTGGAAGGAATCCAGTTGCGGATTATGAACATTCTTGTTACCATCGAAAGTGAGCATACGCTGCTTATTATTCGTACTTACGGCCAATTGTAACCATTATTAGTTCATCGTTGAATTTTGTTGTAACCGTTTGATTCTACACAGGTTTGACGTAAAGTGACGACGCGTTCACGCTCCAATAAAGACCCAGGAAAATTACGTTTTGACTGTAAGGTTGTTATTGAAAACAAGAATCGATCGGAAAATGTTTTGGAAACTGTTTGAATTCTCAGATGGTTCTGGTTTTTCAGTTTCCTCCATTCATTCATCGATTTCGGTTTAAAACGGGTTTCTACTGTGCTTAATAATTATGATGTTAGTGATTTAGAGAGTAAATTGCAAACTTGCGTTTGTGACCTTTTCGCGCACTCGCGCTTTGAAACTGAATTACTACTTTTTTCAAATCAAAATCAAAAGGCAAGTATCATATCAGTCATGCACGCATGATCTTTTAGCTACCCTGCTTTATAGACGCATAACCGTGAAAACGAATCCTCTTCCAGAACCATATTCATAGAATCTTTATTACAATATTATTTAAGAAGTGAATTTAAGCTTTACGAAAGTTGCATGCTTTCTTGTCGTTCAAGTTAATCAAGTACTTGTACTGATAGCTATAGTCTCTTCACTGAATAACAGTCTAGGTTAAAGTTTCTGTAGATCTCTAACAGGAAACCTTTGTGGCCGAGCGTCAGTCCATTAATGATTGGACGAATGAAACGAAAATTCCACAGCAAGATCCACGTTGGAATATCGAGGTCACCCGTAAAACCGGCTTTCCAGCGTGAAGCATTCGTGCGGCACAAATTTTACGCGCGTGCGTGTTTTTGAAACCAGAGCCCGATTCATAAACACGGAACAGGTTCAATATCTGCGTTTATCAATCCCGAGCCCGTGTTTTCTTATGAGATACTGTATGACACGTATATTATCATGGAATACTATATTATCAGCATTGTGGCGGAGACCCAGTTACAGTATTATGCTCAGAACTGTACAAATGGTAAATGAGTACGTGCTAGTACCCTCGGAAAGATTCGATAGCTGCATTAGTATCCAACTACTGTAGGCACTCAGAAAGAATGTTATCATTGTTATGCAGTTACTATTGTTTCCTACTCCGCACAAGCCGTGCTCGCAGGCCGCTGGGTATGACCTTCTGGCGTCTGCCGGGGTTTCAACGTGGTCTTGCTGTGTACAGCGGGTTCCGATGTTAATACAGTAAAGCACTGTACGGAATATTCGGTACCATACTGGCAGCCACCGCGCAAGAAATCCAGATTTAAAAGGAATCCAAAATCAGGTCTAAAATCGCTAATGATCGCATGCAAAGTACCCAAGTCTTAACAATTTCGCTAGCGGTTACTTGCTTATTTCAAGCCGAACCGCCTTGTACAAAATAAACGCTGAATTTACTGAACTACTGCGACCAGGGCCATATTTCCCGTGGTCAGGATATCAGTTAGGCTGGAATGCGTAGGGCAAAATTTGATAAATTCTAACAATAGTGCTAAATTATTGATAATACTGTACAGCTTTATTCCGTAAAACTCTGTTGCTAAGACTAACTGCGCAACTGCACGGGAGTCTGAATGAGTCAGCGACAGATTGTTATCGGTGTCTTGTAGCCCTTGATTTGTCACACAGCGTATAGGTGGCATGTTCGGACATGCTGGCTGCTTATGACGTAGACCCAGCCTTCGTATTTCAACAACTGTGGTACACCTACGTCACTACGCCCGTGTAGTGCGCAGCGCTACCCGTTGTGTGTTGTTTGTTTTTATCGTTTTATCTTATTTTATCGTGTTGTAATCTAAATCGGCGCCATGGCCAAAGCAGCGGACAAAGGTAAGAGCAAGGAGAAGGATAAAAAGAAAGAGAAGAAACCGTCTGCCAAGAAGGAAGACAAAAAGAAAAAGGAAGATAAGAAAAAAAAGGAGGAAAAGCCTAAGAAAGAGAAAAAGGAGAAAGAAAAGAAGGGCAAGGACAAGGATAAGAAAGATAAAAAGGGCAAGAAAGGCGAGGAGCCGCCTCCGCCAAAAGAGGCGGAGTCCCCGGCCGCAAAGTCCGCCGATTCCAAGACACAACCCAAGTCAGAGTCCCCAGCAGTCAGTCAGAAGTCGAAGTCACCCGCTGGATCTCCGGCGAGGTCACCATCAGTCACCGCTGCTGGTACGAAAGAAACGGCATTTCATAAAAGCCTAAACCATCTGATGAGCTGAGGATAAATCTTACAAACGTCCCAGTTAAATTCATTTATTGGAAAGTTTTTTTAAATGCTTAGCGATATCACCGAATTTATTAAGAAATTATCTTTGGTGATAAAACGAGCGAAAGCGAAAGTAATTTATACTCAATAAATACGGAAATAATTTTCAAACATCATTGATTAAATTTTTAAAATGATTTATTGAATTTCTGCGAATAAAATATCCGTTAGGTAGGCATCGCTTCGATGCACAACGTTTTGATGCTGCTTTATTATTGGATAAAAAGAAAGCTATTGCAGTATGTCATCAGTGGCAAACAAATTTTGTAAAGGAATGGATCGTGACCTTTCTTAGCGTACTTTGTAGCGCCTACCGAGGTTGAGCCATCGGATGCCGCCAGCCGGAAACTGCGCTTCGACGAAACAGTCCGTGTGAAGGAAATCCCTGACCGCAAATCGGAGCATGACGCGGCCTCCGTGCGTAGCAGCACCAAATCTAGTTACTCGCGTCGTTTCCCGCCGGAAGGCTCCGAGCTGGATCTGCGCACGGAGCCCAAGTACGGTGATCCGCTGTTTGGCGCCAAAGTGCCGATGGTGCTACGGACGCCCTGTCCGCAACCTTCCGAAAAGAAGGAGCCAGATCTGTATTCGGTGCGGTCAATGACGTTGGACGAGCCGGGCCCACTTTTCGATCCCAACCGCTGCCCCACCTACACACGGGAGGAGCTCATATCCATCATGGAGACGCTGGTCTTAGGCATTAATGATCGAGAATCGCTGAAAACCAGGTAAAGGTATCAAATAATAAATACAGTGATTTTTGAGCATTTCTCCCTAAACTGCGTCGTTACCAAATATCGGAACAAAAGTTATTTGTCCCATCCAGTTAAATAAATAAAATAATTAAATATGATCGTTGGCGTTCAGTTAAATATTAGCGTTTTATTATCATATACCTTGTTTGCAGTATCGAAAAGTTCACCGAAATGCAAGTTATTATAATAATTTGATACTGTCCACTGTTAAAGTTTTGTCCACTGTCCACTGTTAAAGCACGTGTCCACTGTTAAAGTTTTGTGCATCGTTTTAGTTAATAGTAAGATTAAGCGGCAATCGCTTTCTGCATTTAATAACTAGGAGGAACTGGGGCGGCTTTGCAGGTACGAAGAAGAGACCACGCGTCTGGCCATGAATGCTGAATTTTACCACGATAAAGTGGAGGCGGCCCGCGCCAAACTGGAGTGTGTGCGCAACCAGCAGGCTCAGCTGGACGCCAAGCTGAAGGAAAGCGTTGACCTGATGAGCCGCAACTTCATGCAGTTAACGCGGGAGCGGAAACGCATAGCCGGTGCCATCGATCTGCGTGATGACTTCGACCGGCATCTGCAGAAACAGATCACCACGAACACGAAGTTCGTCCAGGATTATGCGCAGATACTGGGCAAGCTGGAGGGCCTCGTCGATGATTCGTCCATGGCGTGGTTGCAACGCGAAACCATGATCAGTACTGAGAGCGAGGCGCTGGAGAGGCTGCATCAGTCCGTTGAAAAAGAGCGCAACATGCTGCAGGTAATTGAATTTCCTAACTGTGTCATAATTACGAAACCTTTAGTGGAACAATAGTTTATTGTTTCTCATCTATTTCTATTCATTTCCGTCAGAATATTTCCCAACTTTGTACTTATACCTTCGTGGCGGAAATTAAAATTTAAGTTTTTTAATTATTAGCCATAATGGGATCGTAATTAGCATCGTCAAGGCAAAACATTCAGTTTTATCATGAGTATATATACCATTTTATTCAATCAATTCAGATCTTAAATTATACTGTATCCTTTGTTAAATCATAATTTCGGGATTGCTATTGCTGCCGGGAAGCTGTCTGGTAACATCTTTCAGTTTCTAATACTGTAGGTATCTTATTTTCCACGGGTCATTCGGTTTGTCTTACAGGGAGAACTGCATCGCTACGAAGCCTTATATGTCTCCCAAACCCAGCAGAACGCCAAACTTGGCCAGGTCGTTGAGCGGGAGCTGGAACGCTATGCACAGAAACAGCAGGAGATCATCCGCTACAACGAGAAGCGCATCCGCGCCCTGGAGGGTTGTGTGCGCACCATGCAGCTGGACCGCGAGGTCATGTATGGAGAAATAGGGGAGACCCGCAGTCGTCTGCGTGAGGTCCTGGAGGGCCGGGTCATCGCAATGATGGACAAGGTGCGGCAGTACAAGAAAGTCCTTAAAGGGCTGGAACGCGAGATCCACACGCTCATGTATCGCTGCAGCACCGGTATGTTAATTACTGAACGCAACCACCACATGCAGCGGTATATATAATACCAACGACAATCAGTACTTTGCAAACTGCAGACAATGTGGTCCCGGCGACAGCCGCCCTACAAGCCTATATCCGGCTGTGCAGCGGAATCGACATAATCGATTTTGTCAACAAGGTACAGTCGTCCAAGACCCACAGTGACGATGCCGAGGCGTTCTGGCGAACAAAACACTGCCAGAAGCGCGATTTAAGCGACATCAGAAAGAGCCACGTGGATCATCTGCGCAAACAGATGCTGATCAGCGAGGATGAGTACTTCCTCATGGAGCCGGTAGAGGTTCCGGGCTCCGAATCCAACACTAATTTTCAACGATCGACGGAGTGTTTCGTACCAGAAGCGCCAGCAGATTCTTGCAATATTACAGGTACAGGTTCACACACCTTATTAAACCTGGCTTTAACAGTGTAGTCAGTGACTGAAAAGTAGTAGTCACTGTTATTACCCCGTAACATTTCTCGAACGTCGGTCAAAATAGCGCATAAAATAGTGATCAGAATTTTACTTTCACCCGTAAAAACTTTTACCAGAAAATCATCAAGAAACCAATAGAAAAAATTGCTTGCTCTGTCTTTATTTGTTTGACACCGGTTTTATGCGCGACTGTCGCTAGGCGGGACATCGCGAGCCGCTAACTTTGAGCCACCCAAGAGTGCGCCGCCTCCCACGGAAGCGCCCTCGGACGGTGGCAGTTACCTCTCAAGCAAGGCGACTGGCGACGCTCCGGCCAATCCTCCTGCCGAAAAGCCGGCAAACGATGCAGAGTCAGTAAAGCCGGAAGCGCGAAAACCGTCGCTGAAAAACGCCGGTGACAACGGTTCCTTTCGCAAACGCACGTTCATGGGTCTGCTTGCCATGCCGAAGAAGACATTTAACGTTCTTAACTCCGGAGTTAAGAAAGTATCGCACGCCGTCACGCATGTTGTTCACCATCACTAGACATCATTAAATGACCCGAAAACTGGTACCACAACTACACAAACGAAACAAATTTTGTTTCATTTGTGTAGCTGTGGTACCAGTTTTCGGATCTGATTGGTCACTTCAGAAGTGATGCGTCCTTTGTGCACTAATAAAGCCAGCAACTACCTTGCACTGCATTTCTCAATCTGTTATCCTATTATTTTTGCCCGCTGCATGCATAGTTGCAAACAATGTACTTAATTAAACAATCACGTTTTTCGGTACTTAGTACTGTGTACTACACGTTTAAGTTATACAGTTTGACTTGAAGCATAAAAAATACGAAGTGCTAACAGCCTCTGCAGCGCTACGTATACTTATTTTACGGATTTTCAGCTACAGATAGGTTTGGGGAGCGCTTCTAACTGACCGAATTTCAATGCAGGTTGAGCGATAAATAGGTCATGCTAACCCAACATTCTATCATGACCATAATTATCCCGCTGTGAACAGGTAAAAACTTAAGAACAAAGGTAACTGAAAAGTCAAAACAACATGATTGTGTAAGAAATTAAAAAAATAAAAACAACTGGGGTCATCCAACGTCAGTTGTCGTTTTCTTGAGTCTGTTTTATTTGCTTGCCGCAAGGATCAGCTTCACTGTTTCAGCTTTCATGCACCGCCCACATGCAGCATGCCCCGTGTGCGTTTGCCATTCGCACTTCATGCCTACACGATCACTAGAAGACAACCATTTTAGTGCAGGCAATCACGGTCAACATTAGCTCCATGTACAAATCCGTACATCGCAAAAACGGAACCGGGGAACCAAACAAGACATGGCTGACTGCAGCCCCACTGAATTTTACATGTAATTTACATGTCTTGTGGGTTGAAAAAAGTTACATTAACACTTGCTTCCTTTTCCATGGTCTTACTTCCCAAAAGCTGTCTTAAAAACTGCTCTGAGTTAATTAAATTTATTAACAAAAGGATGTCCTTGTGTCATGGAGGGAGCAATGCAGCACTACGGGATAACTGGATCAAAAATCATTAAGGCGGACACTCGCATTCTGTATAAAAAAATAAAACAACAACTTTTACAATCGATAACATGACTACAAATTCCTGCCAACCAGCTAAAAAAATTAAACCAGAAAGAAAAGACAAAAAACACAAATAAAACGATAAAAATATAAAAGGAAGCTAGACAACAAAATGCACATGACCTTTACCTTTACTATCCCCCGTCACCACCACCTTCGTCGTGGTCTTCGTGGCCTCCAACCCGTCCTTATTGGATTTTTCCGTTTTAGTGGAGACCTCCTTTTTGGCGCTCTTACTGCGATTCCCGCAGCGGAAAATCAAAAAACGCCGTCGGCCACGTGACACTTCCGTGTGTTCCTCCTTCTTTACCTCCACCTTCTCCTTCTTGGATGCACTCTTATCCCGCTTGAGCGATGGAAGTTTCTTTTTTATCCCCTGGCGAATGCGGGAGGCGCTCCGAGAAATCGCGGGTCCCAGGTTCTTGAAGGGCGAATGACTCCTGGATTTGGTGGAAGTCTCGGTTTTCTCCGTCTTCGTCTTGCCCTTACTGCGGCTGCGTGAGAAAGCCTTCCGCATCCGCGAGACACTGCGGGACACGGCCGCCGGGGTGTGTGGTTTGTGATGCTTCTTGGATTTGGACTTTGATTTGGACTTTGATTTGGATTTGGATTTAGACTTGGAGCGACTGCGCGAGAAAAAGCCGTGCGACTTGGTAGATTTACTCTTGGAGAGGGATTTGTGCTTGGAGCGATGGCGGAAGGGAGATGCGATGCGGTGCGAGTGGCTGGCATGCGGACTGGTCAGGTCATGCAAACTGGGTGAGCGGCTCTTGGAGCGCGAGTGGGAGTGGCCTTGCCAGAAATGCTTGTTCTCCCGCATAAACAGGCTCTGCAAAATGTAATGGCAAACGTCAATCCGTAAAGGCGGAGAGATAAGCTTAGGGAAGAATTATACAGCTATTGACCTTTGGTTCGCGTCGGTTCCACACGTGATCATAGGAATGATGCCGGTTAGCTAGCGAAACGCGGATTCGCTGCACTACGACATCAGGGTCCTCCTTGCGCAACGACGCAATGCGGGGCAGTGGGATTACGTAGTCCTTCCACGTGAAATTGTAGTGCTTCAACGTCGTGTACCTAAAACGTCACAGACAAACTGCAAGGATTTTTTGCAGTTATATTGCAATTACGTTGTGACGTATTAAGATACACGTATAATGATAACGTTAAATGGATGAACAAATCGTCAGCAAACCCAGTGTACCATGTGGCATCAATCAAGAGTCCCAGAACATCGTGGTGCCGCAAGAGCTCCGGCTCTTGATCGATGCAGCTCATGACCTCCTCCGTGGTCATGTACACCCAGCGCACGCAGTTCATCAGCTGCTTGAAATGCTTACGCCGTTCGCTCTCCTTGTGCAGCATCCACCGAACAGCCACGGTGAACACGTGCAGCTCTGTCTAGAACACAGAGTGTCGGTTCCGCTCATTAACCGCCCAAGACTCTCAACGCACCTCAATGACGATGTGATCGCTGCTCAGCAGTTTGATCACGTTTTCGATGTCCCATAACAGGAAGCCGGCAAGTTTAGTCTGCACGTAGAAATGTCGCGCCAAACGCTTGTAACCTTCCGAGTAAAGCATATTGCTGCCGGTTCGCTCGGCCAGCTATCGTAACAAAAAATGTAAATTCAAATTCATCAAGCGCGCAAATTGTACGAAACAAATTATCGATATACCAATTGAAGTGTTTCCTCACGCACAGTATTGTACATCATGCTGGAATATAATTTTTTTAAATAGGTGAACGGGCAATCCTATTTTTTATGCATGTCGACGTAAAAATGTCGACACAAAGTATGGAAAAAATTTGATGGGAAACGGATTGCAAATTGCAAACATAACACCTGTCACCTGCGTATCAAAAAAAAGTCTACACTTCAAAATTGTGCTAGACTTGAACGGTGTCACGTACCTCTAGCGTCGTCATAAGATTCTCATCAGCCAGCAGCGTATTTATAAAATCTGACGCTCTCTCGACTAGCTGCGGCATTTGCAAAACATTGGCTGTAGACAGTGTGTCCACGGCATTCTCGAACGTAACCTTTAACTCCCCCGAGTACATGTAGTCCACAATGGCCTTCAGGCCCTCCGGCGGGATGCCATCTGTCGGCACATCCACCATCATCTTGTCCCCGCTCTCGAACAGAATCTTTTTGAAGTACTCCGAATGCGAGATGAGGACCGCGCGGTGCGCCGGGATTTTGGCCGTCCCACAAATGATGACACAGTCGTATGCCTTGTCATTGGCACGCATCTTCATTACCGCCGCCCCAATTTCCTCGCAGTGTGTCACGCGGTCGCGGCGCAGAATGAGGCGGGCGGTGGGAATCTCCTCGGGCAGGATCTGCTCAGGAATCTTGTTGGTCATGACCTCTTTGCTGTACTCGTGCGCATCGCTAACGTCCACCGAGGAGGTGGCTTTCACCACTTTGCCTTTCAGCTTGGCCGAAGTGGACGTTTCGGTTTTTGTGGACTTCTCAATAACCGCACCTTTGTTGGAGGTCTCAGTTTTAACGGAAACTTCCGTCTTCTCAGTTACCTCCACGCCGGGAGCGGGAGCTTTGGCCTTTCTAAATTTCATCTTCACTGCGATCAAAGAATCACGGCCAAATTAACAAACAGCCTTGTAACAAGCATAACTGGTATGGAAACTTGTGCATCAATCAATATGGATTTCATATAGCACAGAGAAAGTCCTCATACAACTGCTAACACTCGCTATACATGTACTGATAACAGGCAAAATCAGAACGGAAGTTACAAGTACCAGTAATTTACGGTAAACAATGTTTTCAGGCTTTGAAGAGATGAGTTTTGTGATTCCACCGTTGCTAGGCTAAAGTATATAAAGCAACAGCGCTTCGCAAAATGGCTGTGTTAATAGCATAAACACTTTGGCAGCTTACTCGAGGGTCCGCATGATACTCGTATATTCCGGAGATATGGAGATTTCACGGGAGACGCCGATGCTGGAAAATTACTAGTTCAGTTTTACGCCGCACCTGTTTCTGCATGTTTGATTGTGCACTACAGATAACACAGTACTTTAGCTGACGGCAAAATTATGCTTTCTTTCAAGATCCTTTTTCTGTAACTGTTTCTGGACGGCAGGATTGTGCAACTTGGTACATATCGCAGTTCGCTTGCTGGGATGCTTTATACGCACAACAAATTCTGAAGGGTGATTAAGACCGATTTTTAACTTATCGCTTTGCATTGACTGGACTTTATCGTGAAATAAAAAAAAGGTAGAAAGATGATTCATGATTAGAATGATTACATGCACTGTTCAACTACTGTGTTCAACGAGATACTACTGAGTAGTGAGTGACGTTCATAGCGATTCGACTCAAGAAGATAAAAACCACTTGTCCTCTAAAAATTTATTTAGGCTTCCTGCGTTGAGTGGCGCGTGGCGCAGACTTTTCCAAATGTCCGCGCTCAAAGGCCGCAAAACACTAGTTGTCGCTCAAGCAGTCGAACGGGTTTGTTGACAGTAGTCTGCAGTGCTAACCATACATAGGAAAACCATATCCCAGTCCAAAGGCGGAATTCTTGGCCGTCCAGTCGCCGAGGAGCGGATTGACCATACCCATGGCCAGAAAGCCGGGCGCATCCATGCTTCCTCCCACTCCCATGGGCCCCATTCCCATCCCGCTGAACATGGGACTGGGATAGCCGTAGCGGTAACTGGGATGCATGTAGGCACCCATGCCGCTGGACGCCAAAGGCGAGAAGCTCGGCCCGTACAGATACCCCGCACCTGTAACATGCACTGCTCATTAGGCAATCAGTGCCAATCAGTGATAGTGGTAGAAACTAGAAACACTATCCTACAGGTCAAACAGTCGCCGAATATTTCCAAACCGCTGACAATTATTGTAGTTCAAGCAAAAGTGATCCACAGCATAGTGCATTCTACAAGCATAAGATCTAAGGTACCTCGATGTACTGTGAACTGTGCACCTACTGAGTCGGTGACACTAACCATGCACTGTGTGGAAGATTCCCATGATATTGACCACAAGATACCATGAAAGGATCATGCTGGCGAAAGGAAAGGATAGGGGGATGACGAAGCTGAATATGAGCTGGCTGCCGACAACCAGGCTGCCAAACCAGTGAATTTATAATCAGTTATACCGTTTCACCGGAAGCGTGCGAGCATCCTGTAGTGTGTTGTCGTAGAATCTGGGACTGGAAGAGCTGGCAACAGAATTCTAAAATAAAACGTAAATGTACGCAGTAAATATATTTGCTAGAAAAAAACATTAAACTTTCAAGTCTGTTTAGAACTTACTGAATTACAGCTGTGCAGATACTGCAAGTGTAGATCATTAATTGTGGGTTACAGTAATAGCGCGGAATGTTCAACCGGTGCAATATGTGCATGTACTCCGTAGTCTGTATCCGTGTATCCGTTCAACGTATGCGTGCTGTATTCTGTATACGGCGATACGCGCGTTGGCAGTGAGAATTACTTTATACAGAAAGCAGACACTATAATTTGATGAAACTGATTTTGATGTCCATTCCCTAAATACGTACTGCGTAGCTAATTAGCTATATCCAGCAACATGTCTATACAATATATTCACACAATCAATGGATATCGACGGACAAAGTCCGAGAGCATAAGCCAGTAGGTCTTATGTACAGTTTGCATTACTTCACACGCATTACTCTTATGTACAGTTTGCAGTAGTGAGGCAGGATTTTATCTTAACTTCTGAGTTTTGATCTATCTTTTACGAAGTTTACCAACGTCAACATCATAATTACCAGGAAGTAGCATGGTCATTATCAAATAACTGTAATACATTTTGGTTACAATTACAATTATAAATAATCGTGCATACGAGTACAACTGGTTTTTCTCAGAATATGGACTTATCTCGGGAACTGACTACTCTAGTCCCAAGCGTGAGTCATTAGTAGGAGACGAAAATGTAAGCTGAATAAATAATTGTAAAGGTTATTGCCAGTTTACGCGTTAACCCTTAGTACAGGTGTGTAATCAAATAGGTAAATGTGTAACGCAATTCTTAATACATATACGGGTACATTAAAAATTTTCGATTATTGCAGCTTTATATATTTTGCGGCATATAAAAATAATAATTACGTAACGTACATTCAGCACAAGCTAAAATGCGCAAGTAAAGAGGCTTAGAGAGGCTGCTTGTACATCCAAGATCAAAATGTCTGACAATCTCCATCGCCTTCTTGAAATTAAACAAACAAACAAAATTAATATCAGATGACAATGTATAGGGGTGCGGAGGGCGTTTATGTAGGCGAACGTGCGGAGCCTGACAGGTTTCGTTTACCATCACCAGTTGAGCACCATCATCCTTCATTTAGTCCGACTAAAAGACCGGGACAGTGGCAGGGTGCATCACAAAGCGAAGATGTTAAGTAGAACGGGCAAACGAGAACATGTCATATCTACACAGGCATATCGATGAGACTCGAAGTCCAATTATGCATTTATTTGCACTATTATTGTAAAAATAATATGAAGTACCAATATGGTGCCGATATCAATTAAGACCGAAAGAAAAAATAAGCTGTAAAAAGCATCCAAAAGCTACAGAATTATTCAAAACTATAATTTTATTATCTGACTTCTGGAACAAAGCCAATAGGCAAATCTACCGGTAGTGATTGCAGTTGATGGAATCATGTAAGTAAAGTAGCAAGTTGGCGTCTTTGGAAGAAACTAATGTGCGGACATTCGGACCCGGCTAGTTAAAGAAACGAGACTTGAACAAAAGTCCACACGATACGCGCAACAGAAATGCCGTTTACAAACAGTAATGCTATTACCATTAGAAATAAGGATACTTAGGATACAAACACTAAACATCAAGAAACAAGTTTTACGCATCAAAAAAATGGCATAAGCGCCAAACAAAAGTGGTCGCCATTCAAAAATTACGCATCAAAATACGCATATCAGATAAGCAGTCTTAATCTTTTAATTTTTCCATCGGTTGTACATACAGTTTACAAAGACGCGTGTAAACAAAATTTAATAAATGAGGAATGCTCGTCAGGTTAAGCACGAACTATAAAAAAAAATTAGCTTACCAGGGGGTCAAAAATAATTTTTCCGCCCTATCATAAAGTTAACCAGTTTTCGCACACAACTCACAAGTATCCGTATTAAAGAGTCTGTACAAAGTTGTAAGAAATTAACTGTTTACTACAGCCCACATGTCTGTAGTGAAGGCTATAATTCGTAGTTTCAGAAATTGTGTGCACTGCACTTCACACGCATTTTGTACATACACGGTTATGTAATGAAATTAATGAAATTCATCTACAGTATCATAATATCGGAATACAGAGAGGCATTCATACAATGTAGCACAATTAGAAGATCTAGCAGCTCATTCTTGATTCGCGTTTGTCGGTAATAAGTATTCACGGTGCCTGCATCTTAATGCGTTCGACTGATGGTGAGCTCTAATGCGGCCAACGATTTTGTGAATGAGAAAAGTATGCCATTCATAAAATTATTTGTCCGTGCACTGCATGTACTGCACGATGCAGCTAACCCATATATAAGTATTTATATATATGCATTGGATCAGCGTAGATATATCTCTTATTTTATTTACAAATAATTGGGGCTTTTGTTAATCGGCCAGCTGTTTTGGTGGATCTTGTTCATGTCAGTCAGACAGCACATGTTTGTGTCACAAACGTACTGGTGTTTTTTATTAGCAGCCAGTCATGAGTACGTCTGTGATGCACACTTGGCTAGTCGCTGTGAGTTTTTTAGTTACACGAAAATTTAATTAGAATGATTTTTATGTAAGTACACGTAAGTAGTGCACTTACCATTAGAGATTCGCTTTAAAGATTGCTTGTCATACATCGACTAATTTTTATCTGATACAGTAATTGTGAAACTGCGCATATATGTCTGCCGTGCCTGTTCGGTGGATGAGAGTAAAGCCTGCCGTTTTTTTGCAAATTCAGGCAAATGTTGGGATGAAATGATGATCCTTTATCATTTTATATCCATCATTGCTTGGATTTGTGATAATACATACGAAGTATTCGTTTGGTGTACTTGACCTTCGACAACATTATTAATTGCAGCAGTGCTGCTTTGCTTATGATGGCAAATGGAAACAAAAAATGCTTTTTTCTTTGAATGGATCCAAGTTTGTTTTGCCGTGAAAACTATTTTTGTTTGCCAAAGAAACATGAAAAATATATATGAAACTGCTTTTTGCATAAAATATTGGAGAAAGCTGCGCACACCACGTTTTACCACCAAAGTCTCCGCACACCACCTTTCACCACCACCAGGCTGCGCACACCACTATTCGCACCACGTTTTGTCTCGGGCCACCATTTTTACGCCACCACTATATATATTTGAAACGTCGGTAGTCTCGGGACACCACATTTTACTCGTAGTTTCGAAGATATGTATGCAGTAGTCGGTCGTATATACGACTAATATGGGCTATGTAATTAAATTCTGTGTACGTACAAAGAACAGACAATGTTTTGGTTTTTTCGATATATCGCAAGGCAAGCCTATAATTATACAGCTTGCTTAATTTGTAAATAAGCACAGAAAGTTCTTTGTAGCCACAATTTACCATAAACTGACTGCCTGTTTGTGATACTTTTATTCTAAAAATCGTTCTTGATTCATCGTCATACTAGAAAAATGTCGCGTACTTCTTACTCTGATGACCACGACGAAAATGGCCACGAGAGCGAACACCTGCATGTGGGATTGAGTTTCGCCTCTTATGCAGCCTTGGAGGCTGCTCTTGCCAGATACGAGAAAGAGACTTTTACGGTCTTTCAAACTCATCGCTCCGAAAGGTTACCACCAGCCGACGATTGTGCGAAAAATTTGCAATACAAATACATCAAATGGCATTGCGCACACAACACCAGTTATGTCCCAAGAGGCAAAGGGTCACGACCAGTCACCCACAGCAAGGACTTGGAATGCCCTGTGATGCTCCACGTCTCCATTCAGAAAAAGAACAGACAGTTGGTAGTCCAGCGATTAGACTCTTTGGCGGAACATAATCATGAACGCTCAAAAGACCTGTGGCAATTATACCCAAAAAACCGTATACTATCAAAGTCCGACCAAGAGCATGTGACTAAATTGAGAAAAGAAGGTCTCCCACGGCAATCTATACTAAAGGTGAGCGAAAAATGCTCTTTAATAAAACATGTTTTTTAGTAGGAATGACCGTGTTAACGATTACTGCAAAAAAAACAGGTGGTGAGAGAGAAGACCGAGAAGAGCGTCACAATTAAAGACATCCATAATATCGTCACTCGAGACCGTAAATGTCACTTTGGGTGACCCTGTCGTTCGATACATTATTAATGGAATAAGTGTGCTGGATGTTGAGAGTGCCAGGGTGCGGAACAACCAGACCGTTTCCCCGAACATCACGGATGCCATGTGTTCGCTTGTAGCCGGCAGGAAGGTGGACGGGTGGATGGTGGATCGCCAATGAAGGTCATCCACCTTTCTGCAAAGGTCATCCACCTTTCTCATCCACCTTTTCGTAAAGGTCATCCACCTTTCTGCCGAACCAACCTGTCGGCGTCGATTGATCTGACAAAGCCGTTATTGAGTGCATTCAGGCCCATTGTGAGATCAATTTATGCTTGCACTGCTCCGGCAGAAAGGTGGATGCAGTCATTCTGAGTGACTCACTCAGATATTTTGTTACTCTGTCTGAACATGCCGTCCTACTCGTTTTGGTTCTCCGGAGAGCTTTGTTTTTGTTTCCGAAATTTGATTCAAATCTACTCGGTAGAGCTAGACGAAAAGCACCGTGCTCATCGTCAATCAGCCAGTTAGCTGGCTATCTCGGCAGACGATAATTCCTCTCGTTCAGTTCTGGGTGAATCGTTCCAATCAACTTTCCAAAGGTTCGTAAGAATATAAGAAAACTTTCAGAAGTTTGTCGCACCAAGTAAGCTGCTGTTCGTTGAGAATAATGTAAGTTAGAGAGCCCTATAAGTTTACCATAAACTTTGGACAGTCAGCACTATCAGGGTTCTCGCAAAGAAGCCATCATAGTTTCCGTTATTCGCCCCATACAGTAAACCAAATAACTTCGAAAAGTTTTTCATACCTTTTGGAATGTTAACTGGGTAGATCTACTTAAAACCGAACGAGAGGAAAGGGTTTGATCTTCACTTTTGCGTCAGCGGAGACAGCCGGCTGACTAGCGGATGAAGGACGTGACTACCGTGCTCCTTGTGTACCTTTAGGATTTAATTTCAATTTTAGAAATAAACAAATTCACTTCGGAGAAGAAAAACGAGTGGGAGGACATGTTCAGACAGAGTGCTAGAAATATCTGAGAGCCTGCATCCACCTTTCTGCCGGAGCAGTGCAAGCATACATTGATCTCATAATGGACCTCAATGCACTCAATGACGCCTCTGTCATATTAATCAACGCTGAACGGGTAGGTTCGGCAGAATCTACTAGTATCACGAACAGTGCAGTTCTGGAGCACCTACAGCAGGGTTATCTTATGTGCGGACGTTGTAGAACTTAAACCGACTGTTATCATGGAAATCCACCTTTCTTCAAAGTTCATCCACCTTTCTCAAAAGGTCATCCACCTTTCCGCAAAGGTCATCCACCTTTCCGCAAAGGTCATCCGCCTGTCTGCAAATGTCATCCACCTTTCTGTTAATGTCATCCACCTTTCTGTAAAGGTCATCCATCTTTCTGCAACAGTTTCGTCTTGAGTTTTTGTTACATACGACGGGTTTCACTTTTTCCTTCAACCATCAAACGGTAAATGCGCAGAAATTGGGGTGTTGCAGAATGAAGACATCTAACGCAGTCGTTCGGTTACTGATGAAACAGAATACTGATAATCTTTGAAAATTTTTAACTTCTGCACGGAATCGGGCATCTTCGTTAAAATGGCACCTAATTTTTTTTCTACAAAAACGTTCAAGAAAAAGTGTTGGATACGTTTTAAGTAATGAGTTATAACGATGATTACGTTACGGAGGTAATTGAAGAAATAGGATGCCAAACGAAAAATAATTTGTCAATCATAAGTCGTTTAGAACAGCAAGATCAGCTCGGAAAATATCATTGTTTTCAGCATTGCATAGGTTGCATGTAGCTGTTTACCACGTAGCTGTCCTGCGGGACTTCCTATATCTGCCCTATATCTGTACAGAGCATTTCATCCTTGCAAAATTAACAGACACCTTTCAAAATATTTGGCGCCGTTATTAACGAATATCAGTATCAATATCCTTCGTCAGTAAATGAATGGCTTGCAATAGCGTTGCGCGACTGCGACACAAGCATTTCCCCGCATTTATCGTTTATTGGTCGAAGCTAAAACTGATCAATGGGATATAATGTAAATAAGTAACATAAGACAGAAGAACTGAGGGTCTTTACAGAAAGGTGGATGACCTTTGAAGAAAGCTGGATGACCTTCGAAGAAAGGTGGATGACCTTTGGAAAAGGTGGATGAGCTTTGAAGGAAGGTGGATGATTTTTGGCATAACAGGAGATGTCGAAAACGACCTATGAAGTTGTAGCAAATAAAATTGTCTATCGAGCAAGTCTCTGAAGCCTAGATTACGTCAGGTAGTTCGCGCGCAGCACAACAAAAGCGTCGAGTGATAGTTTGTTCGGCCACCCAGTAATTTGTTGAATCGTGAAAACGAAAAAATTAAAGATGAAATACCTGAAAGGCGTTGACACACTGACGTAACGCTTAGCCCGGCACTTCTAAACGGGCATGTGTAGCCCGAAGACCACATTTTGTTTCAGATCTTGCGAATTGTTTTCAGGAGCAGTCTAATGAATTGCGCACATGGTCATTCTAGATGCAGCGTTGCAGTTTACAAATACAGCAGGGCTTGGCTGAGCAGTATTCCTGGAAGCGGAATGCATTCGCCAAATGACTTTCTGGGGTTTTTAAGAACTTTAGCTTAGTTATTTTATGTAATTAATCTGCTATCGAATATGTTTTGATTATGATTAATTAGTGAATGTAACAGTGAACAGCAACTGCGAAAATGTGGATGACCTTTCCAGGAAGGTGGATGACCTTAACAGGAAGGTGGATGACCTTCATTGAAGATCCACCATCCACCCGTCCACCTTCCTGCCGGCTACATTCGCTGTTGCGTGACCTTCACCCAACCGTTTCTGGGCTGATTGGGGCGTACGGAATGTTTCGCCGAGATTTCCGAGGTTTAGATTTGGAGAAATTTTGCGTGCATGTTCACTTCAACTGCGAATCCACTTCCTGACCACCTGCTGGCATCGGGAGACAAAGGAAGTTTGGGTGTATGATAGTTTGGCGATGGAGCTTAACTGGCAGGTTAAAGAACAAATATGGCTGCTTTATGGGACGTTACCGCCGGAAAAGCAGATTACGGCTAGCCACAAGGCTGTCCAAAACCAAGGAAACGGAATCGATTGTGCCTTTACGCTTTAGAAGGTTTGCGCGTAACGAGCTGCTCAATGGAATTGACCCACAGGAGAGCACCTTTTCTGGAAAAACCTTGAGGGAGGTTATAACATCATTTGAAGCTAAGCGTGCAAAAACTCAAACACCGTCCTGGCAGGGCGGCCGAGCGAGTAAACCGAAAAAATCGCTAACTATAACGGAAGCTGAGGCTAACGAGTGGTACCAAAAAAGAGGAGCCAGACCGCGAGACGAAGAGCTGTCTTTTTCCGCCCGTTATAACAAAAATTGAGCCATCCACAGAATATGGTGTGCAGAGATTTGGTGGTGTGCATCAGTATGCTCCTAGTGGTGTTAGGAGATTAAGGTGGTTTTTTCAAAAAAATTAAAATAAAAAAAAAAGGTGTGCGGAGCCTGGTGGTGGGGTTTCGTGGTGAACGGAGACTTTGGTGGTGAAACGTGGTGTGCGGAGCCTTCCCCTAAAATATTTGTGCAGTAAAATATTTGTTTGAAATCTTTTGCCTGGGGGTTATGACCGCGCATGCATAGCAGTATGCAACTGAAACAGGGAATCAATCATATTATTGTACTTTATCGTATGTTTACACATTAACAACAACAAAAATTATTTATAAAGCCGACTTTGTATTGTACGTTGATGTATGTAGACTGCACGTTTTCATAAACTTTCACAATAAAGGCCGAAAAGACTGGCAAAAGACTGCAGCTACATACCGGGAGTCTCGCTCACACGAATTTTCTGCGACAACGATTGTCGCTTGAAATTCAAAGAGAGGAACACGACATCTGTACTCGGGACCGTTATTAGTGAAGGATAAATTAAATGAGATTTACCTGTTGTAACTCGTTTTGTATTAATCATTATGTTTAATACATTGCGCCTTAGTTTGATTTGACGTTGATGTATGAATTACGTTTTCGTAAACTTTAAAAATAAAAGCCGAACCACACACATTATCGCAATGGGCAGTTGCCATGCTTCACGCGCCGGAAGTCCCTAAATTCGTTATCGTGTAAAGTTGCTAACTCTGAGACCTTAAATCTGAGACCTTAATAAAGTATTGCCACGGTAATGCAGACAACTTGAAGAAAATCAAGGATATAATTTTGTGCACCTCCCGAGATGCTCCTGCATTGAAACGACTCTGTGCTCCAAAAAAGCGATGAGAAATGCGTTGTAAATGTTCGTAACTTAAGCCCTTGTGCGAGAAAATATGTCTTCCGTGTGCTACAACAGTTATACTCATTTAGTGTACAAAGTTTTATAAACTTTGACGCTAGTACACGAAATACACTCGAGTACACTTTGTTCTAGTGCACCAATTTCTGACGATGAATCGCGGTGCCGAATGCAATAATGTTTTGCAAATTTCCAAACAATAAAACCGTGGAAATGTCGAACGCTTGTTTGCACCTACACCATCTGTTATGTTTCTTGCCAATACCTAAATCAAGGACAACTTGTCTGGCTTACTATTCAAAGTGCAACGCTAGTGTTGTTAGCAACTTAGCATCACTTGGCAATTATTGCCGACCAATGAGGATCTTTATTTTTCATGAAACCTTTAGCAAATCATTTTCACGTCTGTAAACGCTAGGCGAAAAAAGTACTAAGTAAGTAACAGCAAATTTCGGTGTACTTTACCATGTGCCACATGAAGCAGCATCATGACAGCTCCCACCACGCCCAGGTTATCCCTAAGGCTCCCCAAAAGGTCAAATTTTATTGACGATCAACTGACTAATAAATACTATTTCCTTCGTTAAAGGTGACGCTTTCAATTCTTTAACAGGCATTTCAGCCTGAAATCGGCTTTTCGAACGGTGCGAAGCTTCGTCCCCGTCAAGAACATTCCGAGCATCGAAAACTCCCCGCGCAGTCCTACGCCAGAAAACTTTCAGACGAGCTCCAGCGACCTCGTACGACAAGTGCGCTTTAAAATGTATGAGGATTTCTCCTTAAAGGCGATCGAAAGGAAATTTCTCGCCCGTGACATCGATCGGTTATCCACTTCCGATGCACTCGTGCTGCGCATACTGCAAGAGGAAAACGGTGACGTGGCACGAGCCTACCAGTGGCTTGTTAATCTACTATCATGGCGGCGTCACTTTGGCGTTCACAAACTTCCCTGCGAATCGCGCAACGAAATGTATGAAACACTGTCGTTTGTACGCGGCGATCAGTTCAGTCTTTTAACGTGCGACGCGGTTAAACTACACAATGCAGTTGGCATACATGGCCTGGTTCCTCTAATTCGCCAGATTGTATCGATCTTCGAGAAGATTTGGAACAATGGGGATACTGCGTGTTTGTCGTTAGTAATATCGTTCGCGTATATGGATCCCGAATCGTGGTTAAAAATCAGCACGCGACATCTGTTGAATGAGTTGATTTGTGGCTGTGCTTACTATCGATATCCAGGGTTATGCGATAAGATCGTTCTGGTTAACTGGAGAAGCGATGAGCAGAGCCTGGAATTGTACGATAATATTCTAGCCAAGGATTGGCCGTTTGGTGTTAAGAAGAGGGTACGCTTCGCTCAGCACGACGAGGTACTGAAGTACGTGCTGACCAACTGGCTCCCCGTTTTGCGGTTTGAATCTTGCGAAATTTTGGTATTTATCGTTAAACGTATACACAGTCTATTTTACTTTCGAAAGCACTTTTGTAATTAGATTGTGTTTTTCTGGTTATGCGAGGTAAGAATATAAGGCTGTCGTTCCTGTAGGATACTGGCTGAACCAGACTCTTCACTAGTTAGCACCGATTTTTGCCTACAAAACGCTTTACTTCTTCTCTGCGATCGGCCGTCCTCGCCTTGCAACCCTGTTCAAACTCTTGAAGTTGACCTTTGCTACCGTAAGCAACACGGTATCCCGCAGCAGCAAGACACAGACTCCGGTAAAAGGTCACCCGCTTGCGCCACGGACCGGTATGTGAATGTCGACGTACAGGTGACGGACAGATTGCGAAGCCAATCGAAAACTCTTAGCGCTGGGGTGGAGACGGCGGTTACCAGTGAGGGTACTGCATGCCAGCCCATACCAGAGGATAAGATCTGTTGTCTACAACCTGGTTCCACGGAAATGTTTTTGCACAAGCTAGTTATCCCGAGAACGAGGAAGCAGGAAAAAAACACTGCCAGAAATATTCAGAAAACAACTTGCAAAGAACAGGTTCTCGTTAATCGATCTACGGGAATGTCGCGGGAGAATCTGAAAGAGGAGCACAGAGCGGAAGTCAAAGAACCGGCGACGGTCAAGAAGCTGCTCAAGCGGACTCTGTCACGAGTGGAAGTCGGGCAGTGTCCCAAAAAGAAGGTTAGTTTCGAAGAAACGAACATAACGGGTTCCAGTTCAACCGAGACGATCTGCCCGGACAGGAAATCCGCAGTCGAAAAGCCCGTGAGCGAAGTGGAACAACTGCGGAGATATCCGTGGGATTCATTGCTCAGGCGTAACAATCCAGTGTCAGTGCCTGCATGTGAAATTCCCGTTCGAAAAGATATGACACCAGCCGAAACCGTGGAAATCGTTTCAGAGAAACTTGATCCTTCGATTTGCGAGCTCAATCAAACAAAACCAGAAGAGGCAAACTCGCTACAAGCGGGGAGCCATGAAGAATCGGAAGCAACCACACTGGCTTCGGGAACAGGGAGTAAAAATCCTAGTTTCCCATCGCAGCAAACCGGAAGCACAGAAACCGGGACTACGAGCAAGGTCGATCAGTTGAAGCGTTATCCATGGGATACACTATGTTCTAGGGAACATCCAGACGACTCACTTACGCAATTCAAAGCTGACGAATTGCAGTTGCCTGATTCGCAATTGCACTCGCAACTCGTACTACCCGAAGCGGCTCCTTTGATTAACGACACACTGGCTCCCGAAGTTCACGGAATCAGCCCTGCGTTACTGGAGGTTGGGTTCCCCGAGAGCCGGCGCTATCCGAGCGACGGCTCGCGAACTTTGAGCGTCCTTCTTCAAGGCAGAGATCTTAACAATGAGGGCTATGACCCAGACGAAATCCATAATGAGTATCCACAATCGCTAGAAAAGGAGAACAGAAATGACGACCTAACCGTTGCAGATCAATCCGCACTCAATGTTCAGTGCGTCTCGCCTGTGGCCAAAGAGGTAGTGGGTGACTGTCATGGCGTCGATGCACTGGGAAGATATCCCTGGGATATTTTAAACTCTCGCGGAAAGGTTTCGCCTGCGCTTGAGAAGATGTTGGGAAACAGTGATTTGAACGATGGCGAAGGCAATCGGACTGTAGGATTCTTCCATGCGCACGAAGAACAAGAGAAAGGTTACAGTCAACATGAGATACTGCAAAAAAGCCACATCGAACATCTAGGAAGCGGAGATGGAAAAGGATCTAGTGAAAACTGCCGCTTTACGCTAGCAATATCCCCGCCGGTCCAGCTTATCTGTAAAGTGAGTGCAGTTTAAAATCATTTACAGTATTTAAGGAGTTTAGCACACGAGCAGTAATCTATTACAGTATTTTGCAGTCGGAAACGTTATTAAAGCGAAACCTGGCTGAGCTGTCAGAGACTCCTTCACCTCCTGCTCGATCATTAAGCTGTTTCAACTTTTGTCATTTATCTCACCAATTATGTACATGTGAGCAAAAAACAGCAGATTTACATGACAACCATCAACGTTCGCCGGCGACAAATTTAGCAACGCTGCAGAAGGCCGACGCGGTGGACAACGACATGTACAGTCGCGATAAAAATTCCGAAGCCATGGTGCATTCAGCGTATGCAGAGTTAGTCGAAGACAGTCTACGCCAGGCTGATGAACGTGTTCAGCACTGCTTATCATCGGTGCAAGAAACGGGCGAAAATCTAGTATCTCAAAGACAGGAGAAGTCAGTGGAAGCGGCAGACGTTCTTGACGTTAACCGACCTCCTTCACCGAATCTCTTCAGACTGGACAAAGCTACAATCGAAAGCCTTGAATTAGAAACGACCTCGGCCTCCGTCATAAGTCCAACCGAAAACAAGCTGGCAGCAACTGCCAAGCTCGATGATGGTCCATTGTTTCTGCCTCGATACAAAAGTCATCCATCAGTAGAAGAATGGGTTGAACCTCTTCATCCGAAGCACGAAGGTTCGTCAACAATAGCGACTAATCTGCAAACCTTTGTTCAACCGCAACGGAGCACTGAAAAATACCATATTGTTTCCCGGGCTGAATCGTTGTGGAATACAGTGGCAATAATGCTACTAGTTAGTCGCTTATATAGGTTTGGAATGCAGTGGCACAGAGGGCTACAAAACAGGTGGCGGGATCGTCTTTTGGCAGTTCGCCAGTTCCTCGAATGGCTGAGCTCTGCCCTCTACCATTTACTGTTGTTTTGGTGGAACCGGATCGCGGAATATCTTACAAATTTATCACAACGACGCATACCATTGCCGCTCATCCTGAAGTATTTGCGCAACGATCGGGCACTCTTAGCATTCATGACCTTTGCTGCGGCAAAGTACGTATTCCATTATGCTTTGTCTACCGAGCCAGTGCCACCCAATGAGACGTTCAGGGTGGGCCAGAATTCACCGCGAGATCTTATGGCGCGATGGGCAATGGGCGGGTTCATCAGGGACGGGCAGCCTCATCGGCCGGAAGCAGCGGTTCTTCCGATTGTGCAGCCGGTATCAGAACCAGTTAAAGAGAAAAGTCGTCTTTCGTTCTGGGAGTTGTGGGTAAGTCTTGCGCCGCTATCAGCTTATTACGGAAACGTACGTGTCCATTGATTGGTCGTGTTAAACAGTTGGACAGTCCACCCGAAAAGCAGCCGATTGGGGGACCACGGGAAATCCTCGCATTCTGGACGATGGGAAATATTTTTCATACGCTGAAGTTTGGATTAACGGAAGAGGTTGAAGAGGGACGGAGGGTAGTTCCACAGAAAAGTATGGGGAACACGTGCTCGATGTTGGATGTTGGGTGTTTTGTGCGGTCACTGCGTGGAGATAATGTTCATTCATGATGTGATAAATTTAGAAATTTGCTTGGAATGTACAGATACATCGAAAGTCTGTGCTCAATTTGTGTGCCAAGTGGTCTGCTAAAATGTTCGAGCGGGCTATGTATGTATATAAAATTTTATATCTGAACGGGTTCTGCTCTATTTTGTTCATTGGGCCTTAGGATGACCTACTCCAGGCTACTTGTACAGTCTTTAAAGCTGTTAAAGTAAGTAAGTAAATAGTGTAAATTCGCACAGTATACTGTAAACTCTTTATTTCTGCCATGACTGTACTCAGTCACTACTCACTTCGTCACGCTTAGTAAAGTTAGTTTACTTAAATTATTTTTCTAGAGTAGGCAAACCAAGGGAACTCGCGAGGCTGGTCACCACAGCTAACGATGAGAAAATTTAGCGGCGTAAAACAATTATGTCGCAAGGGTAAAATTTTAATAACAGAAAACAATCAAGCAGCGAGAACTTTCCATTCAAATGAAGTTTTTAAATGAAGAAAACAAATAAGCACATTTCAACAGTTAGATATCGTAACTGGTAAATACAAATGCTACTGTAGTTTGTTGTAGCGCTGGATAGTGGACCAGTGGTTACTATAGTAATTTTTTGCGCAATGAATATTTTTAATTATTTACTCGTGTGTGTTTTGTACTTTGTACTAGTTCATCGTCATAAAACGGTTCGCGGATACAATATACAGCAGAGGCTTTTTTTCAGTTTCGTGTGGTTTTACACAATCCAGTACCTATTACTTGAGCAAAGTTTTTCTCTTTTTTTCAGTCCCGCTTTTCTTAGATGAGAAGGTTACAAAATTTTGCACAAATGGAATTGTAAAAGGAAATGTGGCTCGATGGGAACCACCGCAGTTGTTATCTAGTCGACTGAATGGACGATGAGCAAACGCGCCCGGGTTCCTCATTCTCCTTCGGCAAAGCATACCCGACGACCTTTGCCTCTAAACCCGAGCATGCCTCGCCGTCTAGTCTCTTTAGCGTTATATTCTGCCGACCTCACCAACAGTTCTTTTGGAACAGTACAAATCCCATGGTCACCTACCATCGGGACGTGGTCTTGGCGGCCATGGTGCCCATTATTTATGACATACTCATTTGGATGCCGGCGTTACATCCGGACATCGGAAGCCGGTATATTCATGCGGTGACCGTGGTGTCGCTGTTAGTACTGCTGTACGCGGTGGTGGTGGTGTGGCGGGGCCTGGTCCCGCGATCGAAAGTGCGTAAGTACGGACCAACACTGCTATCCCGATATGGCAATACCCACTATGTTTTACGGCGAAAGTTGCAGTGAGATTTTTTGCAGACTTACGTATTGTGGAATGCTTACATGGATGTGACCCATCCCAGGCTGAATGAGCATGTCAAGGAAGTTCTTTTGGCGTACTACCGACAAACGGTGCGCGGAGCCGAAAGCCATTTGGGTTGGTAATCAGTCAGGAGACATGTGTGTTTAGTTTAGTTCTTAACGTCTTACGGATAGTTTTACCTATATACGAGGATGGAGCTAATATATGGGAATCACATAAAAACTACCAGTAGCGAAAATTAGGAATCACCATCCAAGTGTAGTGCAGCCCTGCCAGCCACCAAGGTTGGCGGTTATTAAGTGTCAGTAGTCTCAGTACGCAAAATATTAATTTTGATTAGCCGTTAAATCACTGCCTGAGGGCTGAGATTACTTTACTGACCATGAGATTAGGCTTGGGCGTTTTTTGAGTTTTAAAATCATAACTCCTCTGTTAGGATGTGGGTTTCCCGATTTATTTGTTGATTTAAAACTGAGCTCTAACAATGGAGAGTATAGAATTTCCATCCAGAGTTATGCATTTAGCTGGTCCGAGTGCAAGGGCGTCAAGAGGTTTGGCACAAAGGGGGTGTCAGATTTTGCCCCTGTCATAAATTTGACGGGGGGCAATCATTTTTGAAAGCCATACTGGTCTGCTCCCTTCTAAATTTTGACGGGGGGGAGGGGCAACCGGTTTTGAAAAAAATACGGGTAGGCAAATTCCCATGCCGGTTCACACCCCCCCCCCCCCCGACTTATGTTCATACATTTTGTACGAGTTCATTTTTATTACAATCGCAATAATCGCAACACATTGAACAGGAGTGATTGCGTGCGTGCCCGTGTTGCACAAGCCGGGCGGGTGATCCCTATTTTCGTTTGGTTTTTGTTATTCCTTTATATCAGCCGTACCGTACTAATGTACTTCGGCATTTCTCACCAACCGATCACTTTTGATAAAATATTTAAGCAACTGATCACCCACCTATTCAAATTTCCTAAGACCAACTTATAATTATTTTCATGTTGCTTTCGATTGCCTGATGAAAAAATCTGATGATTATTAATTTTGATGATAAAGAGGTAGCATTTAACTTGGGCCGTCAGCCTGTAACGCATTTAACTGCAGCATCTGACCATTACAGTCTCCCGAAGATTTCCTTTACCAAATGTCACTATTTGCAGATATGTTACGAAGCTCAATCCTGGCTTTTGAGACTTATCACGGTCAGTACTAGTAATTGCCGCAAATCCTGTCTGATACCACACTCAATTTAGTGCACACTATTGCATCCTGCAAGCTGCTTTAGTAGTCTATGCCTTGAACGCTTTCGCCGTTATAGTGCGCAACAAATACGTGAACTTTTGTTGGAAGTTCGCCTACCGGTTATGGGTCAAAGAGCAACAAATACACTCGCAACTGGAGCGCTTGTACAAGGACAAGCTTCTCCACTCTCGCACACAGCTGCCTCGATCAGGATGGTCGGAGCCGACAGCTCTGCAGCCGGCGGTGAGCATACATGGCGACGTGATGGACCAACCCACTTCGCGCGGGAAGGATGTGGACAAACTCAGTGCGGCCGATAAGGACGATGTCGGCTTCCGAGTGCTGAAGAACCTCACCCAACGAGTGAACCGCTTTGCTGGAGAAAGGACTAACCAATGCCCAACACTGAACACTAGCCACTAGCCACAATTTGTTTAGGTTTTTTCACGATAACTTAGAAATTGGCGTCGTGAGCGGATGTTTTGATTCACACTTCCTTATGCTAGTATAGAGTTTGGTATGGATGTGTTTTTATAGCATTTGCTATAGTTGTACTCTGTTTGATTTTTGAGCAATAAGTCTTCCGAGAAGTGTTTAGAAAACGTTCATAATGATTTTTACTAGCAGCATGAAAAGATTGTAGCCGAAATGAAGGAGCTCCAGGCACAGAGCTTTCACAAGACACCTTTCTCTGTTCGAAAAACCCAAGCACGTGATTTGAAAAGCAATCTGTGGGACAGTGGGAGCATCTATTTTAGCGATAAGAAGCAATTTTTGCTTGGAAAAAAATCTTTCTAGCAACGCTGTCTACTCCAATACTACTGCACATCACCGGATCCGGACAGTACTCGGGATCGTAGTCACTAGTGGATGGCATAGATCGGTATCGCCACAATGTTTCCTTTCTATACGGTCAGTTTCAACACCTCGTATTTAAGCGTTTCGGTGCATATGCGCCCAGTGCGTACCACTGGTGGATAAACGGGCAATGTCTGAAACAATAATAACTGTCTTGTGCTAGCACTAGATCTACATATACGCATTTAATTCCCAGAAACCATACGAGCATTTTTGTTAGGATTTGAATCGCTTCTAGCAGAATCGAAACTAGTACTTACATAAGTTTACAAGCACAATAATTACCCTCGTGCAATAGAGAAGCCACAGCTATTGAAATCGATACAGGTATGCAATGTATGCCGTATGGTAGCACTTCTACAGTTCTAGTTTGTAGTAGCGAAATAAAGCTGCAAAGTCTTCATTCGGGGCCTCACGATAGCGCTTCTAAAGATAAGCTGTTCAAAACTTTTTGAAAGCTGTTAAACAGCTGCCGTAGTGATCCATAGCAAGGAAACTGGTTAATATGTACGGTAGTCATGCGTTCGAGAAACCTTTGTTCGGCAACGGAGCCGGCTTTGCCGCCGAACAAAGCATACACTCTAAATCTTTTCCAGTTTCACCCAGATGCCGTTCTTGGCGCGAAGAAAGCTCATGTCCGTCAGTTGCAAAGGAATCTACGAAGGAAAAAACTGAAAACATTGTTCGTATTACATTTCATTCTGTTACTTTTATTACACTACAGTAATGAAAATCCAAGTAAACTTTGATTTTGGTTATTCTAGTCTACTATATTACAATTTTTGCCATCCGTACTACAGTGCGCATTACCTCGGTTTTGGAAGAAGGAACGAAACGGTATTTTCGCAGTACTGAAACCATGACCAGTTTGATCTCGTAATACGCAAAACCTGCAGCGACATTAACACATGTACAGTACGCATTGAACGCACGCTCATGCTAATGATTTTCAACAGCTTACGCATTCCGACACAATTTCGTGGTCCCTGGCCAAACGTTTCGAAGGTGAAAGGTTTGATTTTATGCTTGCTGTCACGGGAAAATCTATTGGTAGGGATGTTCACGACTGCATTAGTATACTACGTAACAGCGATAAAAGATTAACCAAAAAACCGCGAAAAGAAGCATAAATACGATGTACATCGTATTTATGCTTCAGTACGCGGCAAAGGTAAATGCAGTTTTAGCAATACCTATCAGGATCGTATCGTTCTGGATCCGGCCAGTTCTCTGGATCATGGTGGATGGCGTAAATTGGCACGGCAACCACCGTTCCTTTGTCGATCGTCATTCCTTTGTAGGTCCATGTTTCATTGCACTCGCGCTCGGTACGCACAACCGGCGGATACATCCGCAGCGCTTCATTGATGCAACAATCCAAGTATTCCATTTTGGCGATTAGATCGTAGGTGGCAACCTCCCGATCGCTCATAACAGAGTCAATCTCGTCACGAAGCCTCTCTTGGATATCGGGGTTGACGGTCAGGCAATATGTCAGGAAGCTCAGGGCGCTTGCTGTGGTGTCGTAGCCGGCAAGAAAGAATATCACAGACTGGGCTACCAATTCCTAAAATAAAAACATGTTTCATGAAGCTGTAGCCGGTTGTGGGAGAAAGCGTAATACAGTACTTCTGTCGTCAACTTGTAATTGGAGTGGTAACTGGGTTCCGTTGAGTTGGAAATAACGTCCGACAAAATATCGGCGTGATCGCCTGCTTCGTCGCGAACCAAAGTCCCTGCCGGTTCCTTCTGGCTTCGCCCAATACCGCTATGACCTTTGAGGGAGTTTAGCATAAGCTGAAGAAAGTCCTTCCGGGATTGATCCTACAACGTATGACCACAATTATCGTTCTTATGCAGCTATAAAAGAGAAAGTTGTACACACTGACTTGACTGCTTGTTCGCAGCTTGACAATTTGTTCAGTGTTGCGGACGAAAAACTGCACGACCTTTCTGTCAATCAAGAAGTCGAATCCCATTTTGACCATGTAAGGCACCAGCTTGGGCCACGCAACTGGGCAAGACCAAAGAATTAATAACTTTAGCTCACACGGTTGATGTTTTCACATGCGATTGGTATACAAGCTAGTCCGGTAATTTCTGACGAATCAATACAGCGAAATATACAAAATCAATACAGCGAAATATACAAATATACAAATTCACGGCGTAATGTACTGGCAACTGCCATAGCACAAAGGTCGCGCTAAATATACTTGAAGTATATGTCTTGTCTGCACACCATTAGGAATTGCCGGACAAGCTTGTACATAAGTGCGAAAGACTTTGCTCACACACGATGATAAGCAGCGGATTCTTAAAGTTGAACTCGAAACCCTTTTTGGCGTTCTTCACAAACTCATTGTTGACATCATTTTGGGAATCAATTTTCATGCCGAAGAAGGTCGAAGCAATAACGTCCATTGTTACGCGTCCATATAATCTGGGTTTTAATAAAAGGTCTGGGTTACATGTTGGAAGAAGGTAGAACTACAACGAGATCACTAACTCTTTAGCTTCGAATTCTGTTCCATGTTCGGCAACCAGTTCCATATTTTTCACCAGTGTCTGACAGGATTCATGGATCAGGGCATTCATCTATTAGTACACAGTCAAAATCTTCGTTACTGACTAACTTCTGCAGTTACGATCAATCCGCTCACCAAGCGCAGCTTGCCAGATGTGAACGTCGGCACTAGTACACTTCGGACATCCTAATCAACCGAAATACCGAAAAGACAAAATCGCCCAGTGCAGGAATGTGCTTCTTACTTTCCAACGCTGGTCTTTGAGAACACTGACAGCCTGGTCCAGAACTGGCCCATTGATGCCCTCGATTTCCCGTCGGTTCACAAAGTGTGAAAAATCTTTCACTAGAATACTTTTCAGCATATCTACAAATAAACCAGACGTCTAACAGACACTGCAAAACGATCTAAACGCTCACTATCGCGTTTTACCGGTATCGGACACGACGAGCACAGGTGTTCCTCCATCGAAAATGCTGTACAGCAGCAACGCGTATGTAAAACCCTTACGATGGATAACGGAACAGTCATTATCCACATCATGTTTTCGACACCTACCCAAAAATTTTCCCAAGCTTCTCGGTCCATTTTTGGTCGAACCTGGCTTGACCCGTCTAATAACGTAAAAAATCACAGCTGCTGCGTTACTGCTGCTATCTACTCTAGGTAGCATGACTAACATACCAGAGCTTGGTCCAAAAAGCGCCCCAATAGTGGATATAGCAAGGGACCGGGGATGCCTTTTTTCCGCCAGTATTCATTTTTCCAGATGGCATCGCTATGGAGAGCTGGATAAGATTAAATGCTCGCCAAGTGCCGTTAACATTTGTGGCATCCGCTGTATTTTGCGAACTGCCTTTAGAGTTCAGACTGACGAACAACAAGTGTATACTTCGACATTCTCAATGAACTGAACACTTTCGATGTATGAACCACTGAACCAGCGGGCAGAACACTTGGCTGCAGTTACTTTTATGTCCCTTGAGGGAATACGCTATCACCTTAGCTATCTCTCACTCAGTTCCGCACTATCGAATAATTATCCCGGATGTATCCTAAAACAGGCTTTACTGCACGCTAACTACGCCGCTACGTAGCCGTGCTCTAGTAGGGCTGCCCATACAGCGAAGTGTTCGGCGAGTGCAATTCTCATTCGTTCGGTTCGTTGGTTCATATGGCGAAAACATCCAATTCGTTGATCATGATTTGAGAATTCCGAATTCTGCATGAGTATTGAACACATGAATATCTATATAACTAATTCATAAGTACGTATTGTAGCGTGTAAGATAAAAATAATTCTCATCGTAAGCAAACGTACTGTACGACACGCGCACTTACTAGACGCAGTACGCAAACAAGACGCACAAAACTCCGAATATCCATACCAACATTTTCGGTAGGTTTGTAAATTATGATGACAAACTAACGGCACGAAAATAATAAAAATTATTTATGCTATCAGTTGACGATATTACAGATCGCTGTTACAAGATAAACATTAATTTTCTCTTCCGATGGTCTTGGTAAACTTTGGTGGTCGCAGCCGTGCTCACCGATATCGACTGTATATGTACATTACATACTCTTACACACAAGGTATGATAATTATTGTATGCAGCCGTACAAAGAGTTTATAGTGTAAACAGCAGCGATAGGAAAGCAAGTAACGATAACCGGTTTGATAGCGGTTCCACATGCATATCTGTAAACTGTGAATTTTGCAAGCACGCTTCATAAAGATGCTTTGGTCTGTGCTACAGTTACCGAATACCGTACGCGTCAGAGTAAGCAATAAACGTCTGGTGAAAAGCAGCAGCGGTACTCGCAGTATAATCGGAATATTGATTTGCTGTATTTAAATTGCACGTTCCCTTTTGTTAAAAACGCCGACGAAGATTAAGATGTAAAAGATACTTCGTACTAGTACAGTACTCTATCCGTAAAATTTTGATTTCAAGCTGCTTTCCAAACTGATGTAAAAGGGAAGCCACTGAGTCAGCTGACCCGATTCATTTTTATGCCGGGTTTCTCCACGTGATCTTTGTTATTTTGTGGGTGGAATCGTGCACGCACAATAAAAAACATACATATGTGGATCATGGACATTATTGTATCTATCAGAAACGTTACGAGTGAGAATTATTATAAAGCGTTACGAGTGAGAATCGATTTCCGTGTTACGCAGTAACCATAGCGCATAACTGCAACTTGCACCATCTATGCATAATGGTGGGAATCAAAAATCGATAAAACAGAAACTCCCGTATTTGTCTTAAGTACTCCCAAATTTCACATATAGTAAGTACTGGTGTGAGCAACACCAAAACATCCCGGTCTCTTAGCGCGACACTAGTACTTAAAGGCTGAACAGTGTATATACAGTGACTTCGTTCAAACAAAATCCATTGGTTATTCAGATGCGCCAAATCTATACGCTAATTTTTACCGTGTTATGACTGATGTCGCTCTAATTTTCAAGCACTACTCTCTATTTTAATAGCAATAGTAAATTGAAATTCGCAATCTAAAATCATCAAAAATGTCGTAAAAAATACGAACGTTGCAAACGTTTGGCACGGTCACTGGCACCTTAGCGTGTTAGTCATTTCTGACGTTGATACGGCAGTACGGGCCTGTACGGCGGATTTTTTCAGTTTTTACTTGAAGTCAGTATCAACGGTTCTCACCTTATTCAAAATTAGAATCCATGTGTTCATTAGGAAACTTTATAGAGCGTTGCACAGTCTAAAACCTGTATATCTGTCAGCAAATGCATTTTATGCCAGTATGTATGTGTATGGACTAACAGGTCATCTAGGGTATGGGACTAGGATATATTTCAGAGAACAGCATCGCTTCACAACATAACGCAGTTCTCTGAAGGTCAACAAAATGACTACTGGATCCACGATGGTTTGCAGGGAGAACATGATTATCGCCAACATTCAACCACGCCTTTAGAAATCCCGCATCCCGAAGAGCGGTACTGTTGAAGGTCAAATACAATCCCGCGGCTGTCCCTGGAATCCAGCAGACCACGGTGCTAACGGTCAAACCGGCGAGTAAGAACAGTGCATGCTTCGGCTCCTTCCTAACACTCACGATCCGCTCACGCTGTTTTTGGCTGGCTGATAACCGCTCGATGCAACACCAGCAGTTCCGCGCCTAAACCTCCTCCCGCGCCAACAAATTTAATAAATATTTATCGCAGCCATATAAACAACATGGGACTTCCGACCAGAACAACGGCGCGCACAGCAAACCACGAATTTAAAGGTTTCACGTTCATTATGCAGATTTCCCCAAAGATGGGGGACATTTTATGGGAAACAGCGTCCAATAATAATTCCGGCAGCATGATAATATGTACGTACATCCACATATTGACACACAGAATAATGGCCACTTTCTGGCTGTGATGTTTGCGGTAATGAATTTGTCTGAGGATGGCCCACAATCGATTAATGGATACCAGAAGATGCGCCTGGATCATCACCGGAGGTAAGGCGAATTTAGCATAATTGAACAGGCTGCACCCCAAATCGCTCATAATCCAGCGCACGCCATCTAATTGATCGGCGATGCTAATTGATCCGCTTATCGTGATGAAGAGAAGCGTCACGGCTGTGAGGTTGATCAGGTAGACAGTGAAGGTGGTAGGTAGTTTTCGGGCCAATAAGAGGATTATTAGCAGCCCCACGTAAAGGTTGAATTCAACGATAAATTTAGGAATGCCGAGTACTGACTCGGTGGTATAAGTCAGGCCATCGTTTGTTTGCAATGTTTCATTCAAAGGGCGCATCATGCACAATCCGATACACAATCCAATTCCTGGCTTCGATTCACTCCGCATCTGCACTAATGTCACTGCTTCTTCCCAATCACGCTGCTGTGGACTCCACCGATGCACGGGAAAAGTGGAAAGTGAAGAGCGGTCAGACAGATCTTCCCGAACTCAACTTCCAAAACTGTCAACGATCGTGGGACTTACCGCTGTGTAATGCGTCACTGTCAACACTGCTGGATGTTTTCCGTGACGACGAAACTAACAGAGCCCGTCTCCTTGCCCAGTCCAAACCGGAAGCCGGCATCTGGTTAAATGCGCTGCCTTCGGCACATATCGGAAACCTACTCGATGACGACACTTTGAAGATTTCAGTCGGGCTTAGGCTGGGCGCAGTAATCTGTGAAGCACATTCTTGTGCAAAATGCCGCAAACCAGTTGACGTGTATGGCCACCACGGATTGTCATGCTCCTTCTCCGTCGGTAGACACCCTCGCCATGGCGGGCTGAACAGTATTGTGTGCCGATCATTAGTATCGGCGGGTATCCCGGCGAAGCTTGAGCCCCGCGGCACATCCCACACGTCCGAGCGACGTCCGGACGGATGCACGACGTTTGCCTGGAAGCGTGGCATGTGCTTAGCTTGGGACGTCACCTGCGTCGACACCGTCGCTTTGTCGCATATCAAGTCAAATTCAACAGCGGCGGGATCCGCCGCTGCCCAGGCCGAAGACAGGAAGACCAGACAATATGCGTACCTCGTCGGCAGATACATTTTTGCGGCGTTAGCTTTTGAAACATTCGGGCCCTGGGGAAAATCGGCATCCGCTTTAGTGAAGGAAATCGGAAAGCGATTGCAGCAGCACACGGGTGAACCTCGATCACACGAATTCTTACGCCAGCGTCTATCGATCGAAATCCAGCGGGGCAACGCGGCGTCTGTCCTTGGAACCATTGATTTAACGGATAATTTGAGAGAAATTTTTCTGTTATAATAAATCATTTTTTTTGTTGTTAACAAAATCTGCAGTGTGACTGGCTTGCGCTAATAAAAATCCGATACGAGTTACTGTTTCTTTATAATGGTAAGATCATGGGGGTCAATAGTCGGCCTCTTGATGTGGCCTTTAGCAATCCATGTATATCTGAAAACGAATAGTGCAGTATCAGATGGCGCTGGCTAAGCGCGCATCGTCCATCGACGGAGGAACAAAACGAACCCGGATGTAGGCTTTAATGCCGAAATCTGAACACACACCGCGCTTGCGCGCAAGCCAAAACCAACTGGTCTCTGTAGGCAGCGCAGCTGCCTTACAGAGCCATCAAAACGCATGAAAATGCCCAGACAGGAAAAAACCCAAAACCAACCAATGACAGAAGGGCTGAATCATAAGCCCGCCCTGACAGCAGTGTCTACAGACCTTTAAAGGGCAGTGCGGCCTTTAAAGGGCTAAATTGTACTACGCTTCAGTACTGCCAATGTACCAACAAACATAGCCTTTCTGCTTTGGAGTATGGATGTATGTATAAATCGAAGCGGCGAACTGTCAAATGCAAAGCGAACTACCTACGTATGGGGTCGAATAGCACACATGAGGATAGCCTGGGACGGTGCTATTGCGCGGAGTGGGAACTGAATCACTCCTCCTCGTACTGGAATACATTCTACGTCCTGTTGAATCACTGAAGATCGGCAAATGAAAGACCACGTATGCGCGATTTTTCCGATCTGTAATGTGCAACTATCATACTCATACTATCCTAGGAAAAGCAGCAGGGTGTGAACGAGTTGTAGAGAATGGTTACAGGTAACTAAAAATTTGTGAATTGTTTGCAAGGTTTACCATTTAAACATTTAAACAAAGAAATCAATCACCAATGTGCGGCAATGGAACAAGTTGTATTCACAGTTAGTGTTGTGTGTCCGGTTTCCAGAGGCTCGTTCTTCAAAACCTGGAGTAACATCCAGTGTCATCGAGTCGAACGTGCTTTATCACCTTGTGAATCAGGAACGATGCATGTTCGTTTCAAGTTGCAAAGGATAGTGTCACTGAACTAAAGGTCAAACTCAACTTGGTTTATTATCGACCGCGGATGGCGAACGTCTTCCTAATTCAGCTGCATTGCTAATATTACAGTACTTACCGGTTAGTAATCTTGTATGTTACGTTAGTTGGTTACGAAAGCCTATAACTAGCTTACGGAAGGCTGCATCCGAACTCATTGTCAAATTGTTTCTTGTTTTTCGTTGTTTTGTTTTTTTTTAAATTCGTAACGGGAAAAATTTAATTTGCAGTAAATGCCTGTGTCTATGCAAACAAACATGCAAACTGAGCGCAATATATTATATGTTGCGCTCAGTTTGCATGTTTGGTGACTCCCACTGTCATATTCGATGCTTTGTTGATCAATTTTTATGTGTCTGAGGCCGATTTTGTTGACTTTTTGATTTATTGGTTTCTTGTGCAATTCGTGGCCGATAGGCGTTGGATCTGCGTTCTACTGAATAACAATAACATTCTAATCTTTCGGAACTTGACAAGTAGCTAAGATGCTGTCTCAAACATTACTGTAGCGTAACTGCCCTCAGCAACGCTCACACTAGAACCACCGCAAATCCGCGTTTCATACTTTGCTACATGGACTGATGGACACCAGATGTGCAAGCAGCCGCTTTCGGCGGAAAAACTGCGTCTGTGATGCTATCTCTAAACAATAGATTTTTGGTGTTCTGCGGAAACATTGGCGATGCACCAGATAAAGGGCAGTGTGAATCGCCGACTTGCACTGCGACGAATCGATTGGTAATACCCATACTGGCCATACACACTCAATACACTTAGAAGCAGAAAATAATAATTAACATCGCCAACTGCGCTTGGCTGCAGATTTAAGTAGTTGGTCAGATTTTTCTTGTTGTGATACTATCTCCAATAAATGTTACAATCTTATTCCGAAATCGAAGATCATCACAGTCATAAAACAAAGTTTGCTAAACATACTGTACCTGTGCAGCTGTGCTAACTCACCAAATCCGTAAGTCATTGCCTTTGTAAATAAGACACGGTTTACTTTATTTAAGCAACTTGTGTTAGTATTACTGCCAATGTCCTTTATAAACTGCTTGGACCTAGTGCCGCCAGAGCTTTCAGGAAGTCGACGAAAATTGACCGACAGGATAAGTTGACGGCAGTTATAAACACTAAGCTCGATGCTTCGCTCTCTTCCGGATTAGAACTGGAAACGGATAAGCCGTTTTGCGCGTCACACACCACGCTAATTATATCCACAGAGGTCTCGGCACGTGCTTGATGCGGATGATCCAAGATCCACTGGTGCGCCTGGCTGAGGATGCGGCGACATTTCAAGGTGTTGTCACAGTGCAGTTCAGTGCGCATCGCCTCCGACATATCGAAATTCATTTCGGAAAAGGTCAGGTTGCCTCGCTGGCAGCGGACAGTGATAGTTGTTTCAGTACTCCCGGAGAACGTTGAGGTTACTTCTGGGATCTCCGTTGTGGGCGTTTTAGATGTTGCGATGCTCGTTTGGTGTGGCAGTAGTGTGTAACCTAAAAAGTATCAAGTCTCCGTTAGAACGCTTTTAGATTAAGTATAATTATTGTGCTTTCACCTCCGTTATCCGCACTCCAGGTGACCTCGTCGATGGCGCAGTAGGAACCGTAAGGCAAAGTAGCAACAATTTTGAACTAAAAGACAGCACCCGAGATTTTTAGTGCCCGCATTAAACAGGTATCAAGGTGAAAATTAAAAAGGCAGCAAGTTGTTTTTAAGGTTCTGCAGCCGTGCTCATCCGTTTGAAATGACAACTGACATCGAAGCGACGAAGCCTGTCGGTATTTATTTATGAGCGTTTTACTCATGATCATGTGAAGAGCGCACCTGGACATTGTCTAACGCATCAACCTCGATAAAAGCATGCTCCCAGGAATCGCGTCGCCAGATTTTGACGCTCTCTTGCTTGGCACCGATAACGAACACTAATTCCGCATTAATACCGCAACGGAAATAAAAGGCAAACCGCGACACTTCGGCGTGCAGCAACATCGGCGACTGCAACGCAGCTGTGATGGTTTCTGTGCTGTTGGCATTCCGAGCTATGAGGCAAAGGTTGTCTGCCCCAAGACGGCTTCGACTTAATTACATCAGCGTAATCACTAGTGTGAATATGTAGCACGGAACATACCAGCAGAGATATCGGGAGCCCTGTACAGGGAGCTAGCGTCGTTGCATCCCGTCACCCACATTGGCCCATCACCGGCATTAATCCATCCACAGGTACCTGATCGAAACGTACAAGAAAGGAAGCCATCGCTCTCTCCTAAAAATTAAACAAGAGGTCGTCTTAAGAGTTATGACTGTTTTTCAGCTGTCATAGTATAGTTTTCTTCGTTTCCTGCTTCGATCGGGAATTTGTGTAAGTATAATTATTAATTTTTATAAGCGTGTATATTAAATAAATATATTATGTGAATTATGCACATAATAAATTTATATAAACGGCAGTCTTGTTTTACTGCAGCAGAAAATTTTGTGCTACCTTCTTTGTGTAGGGTCATGGCCATCACACCCGACTGATGCCAAGCGGCAACAATCTTGAGCCTTAACTGCAAACACACACGAACGGCAACTAGAGTGCTTCCGTCTTTGTCACTTTTCAAATGCACCACCTACCCGGAAATATTCCATGGGCTCCAGAGTTAACGTCACGTGCTGGCTAGTTTCGTAACGGCCGTTATTCGTTAGCGCCCAAATTTCTTCCCAGTTACCACTGGCTGATTGAATATACATGTGGGCATTAGGTAAATACCGGTAGTGATTTTGGCTAATGTACCCCATTTCGCTTAAAAATATCCAGAATGACAATTTGGTTGTGGTGTTCAGGGAGATGGGCTCTGACAGCAAATGATGCCCGTTTAAACCGTAGCTGTCTCGCGTCGGAGTGCGGGCGATTCCACTGGCACCTGCGGCACAATTCGGTATTCTAACTGTAGCCAAAGTTGTTGCGCAGTTACGATCGTGCATCACAAAAATCACCCGTATTAACTACTATATTTTTATTGTACGGTATACCGGCAAAATTTTCTGCTGCATTATAGACCGTGCGGTAGCCGTTGATGGAGTCTCGGATTTCCCATGCCCCATCCGGACGAGTCCATCCGCAATAGTTGGTGTTAAACTGGCACGAAACCTTAGCTTCTGATTCCGAAATGCGTAGCAGCACCACTGAAACGAAATTGACATGCACAATCGACTGCGACTTCCACTCATTCGTTCTATTCTGTACACCGGAGCTCTAGAACTTTTGTATGGTTTTTCTTACCTGCTAGAAAAAAGGTCAACAGCCAGTGGAGCGCCATTTTTAAAATTTTGTTTGGTATAGAAAGAATTCAAATTTTTTCCATATGCCAGAATCTGTGGTGCCATGTAAATTAAGCGCTTGAACAATGCTGATGGAGAAACTGGACTTTTTTCTGTCGTATCGGTACGGCATCGATAAGATAACTACCGGCAACTATTGTCATCGTGAAATTTCTAAGAAGCTCTTCCATATTTAAGAGCTGACGGATAACTAAACTACAGGCAAAGACAAATTTTCTTTTGTTTTGCTAGACTATAACAGTAGCGAGTGAATGTCTTATCAGTGCTAATGCATACGATGTAAAATACTTGTCTTTATCTCTTTTGCACGGCGAAAATTACTGATTATAAAGACCGCAAACCGCGACCGCGATAGTATTCTAGTACAGCCAAACAAACTATAATCTTAATTTTATCTTACTGAAATACAACCAGCGCTACCGGCCCAGTGCCGGGTTAATTTTCGATTCTAATTATTTTGGTAATTAATTACCTTTGATATGGCTATGATGCATACGATGGGGCTGGCTTTTTCATCAGCCGCAAATTTTTGAAATTTGGCGCACAACAGCCCAACAGGCAAAAACTAGCGAGCATTTGCAAGAAAGCGATTCGCTTCACGATCAGTCAAGTCGATCTGACTGAACCACATTGGATACGGCCGTGTGTATGACTCGACCTGGCAGGGGTCAGTTGGATTGAGCGCGCCGTTCACACAATCGCCGAAAAATGTCCAATATAGCACCGCAGTGTTGTGCTCGGTTGTCCTATTACACTGAGCAATAAACAACCAGCTTTTTTTCGGAGAACAGCTGGCCTGAAAATTCCTTTAGACTGGGCCGGGTGGCAACGCATCCATTTTGTGACTTTTGTCCCACGGTGATCTTTATCTAAACCGAGCAGACAGTACGGAAAGAACACTCTGGTCCGGGAGCCGGTGACTCCAGTCTCCAGCAACGATTGCTCCAGATTGGTAACCGATCAGCTTCCGCCCGAGATATTTTCTAATGCAGCACATTACTGCCTTCCGTAAAACATTCTGCGCATATCATCTTGGATTTAACTTGTTGCATTCCGTAGTATGAAACAAAGCACCTCGGTTCAGTTTGCAGTAAGTTCTATCTTTGACCCAATAACTATGTCTGCGGGCTGATAGAATTCCTTTTCCCAATGAGGGTACGAAGGTGATACTATGTTGACGAATACCTGTTTAACTTGTGCTTTACTTAAATTTAAATTGCATGAGTCGAGGATCGAGTCATTGTGGTCGATCGGTTGTCGGGACACTAGTTTATATAATTATGTTCTTTGGATTTCTGGCTGCACATTCTCAGCAAAAACAACGTTCATGTTGAATACAGTGTTAAATTTTTATAAACTTCATGTATACATGGGGCGCCGTAGACAATACACACTTAACTTATCAGCATCAGCACACCTTGTGATCCATTGAGCAAATTTGGTTACCATATGTCAGCACTCTTGCATCAAATAGCCAGTACCTTCTCGCCCGAAACAATACTAGGACGGACATTGCATCCGCTATTCTGCAGTCACCCGTGATATCACACATCTCTAAGTTGCCATTATTCTTCTTCCGTTGCAAACAACAAAGCAACTTTTGTTATGCGCACACTAAACTGAGCTTGTATGTAGACGCTGTGGACAGAAAATCGGCTTTCATAGGCGGGACACTTGAAAACGTTTCTTATAAACGTGAATGTTTCTCATCAAGTACCGCTGCGTATCGTAAAATCCAGATACGTGGACAGTGTTTTGGGATTGCGTAATGCACGCTGTGCCAATCGACGATGAGCTAGAAATCAGCCACAGCTGCAAAGGAACGATAAGTACGATATGACCTTTGTTGGCCCACAAAGTTCATCGTTGTCCAGTGCCGAAGGGGCAGTCTAACTTTTTTCGACTTCAATTTGGACCTGTCTCATGCTTTGCGCGCCGAAATGCACAGTGAAACACCCTAAAATGCCGTTACATACTCCGCGACATGCACAAATGGATTTGGCGCCGACGGTACAACCGGCCAGTAGAGTGTCCGCGGTCTAATCAGCGTGGGCCGTGGAATGAAAACAGTCTGATGATTTCTAAAATTAATCAGGACCGGAGCTGATAGAATCCTGTAGTCTCCTATATACGACCGCAGTCAACGTTTGGTGTCGATCGGATTTCTTGAGTTTCCTGAAAGATTTGGCCGAATTTGCTCCCAATGCTGCCATCGCGTCATACGGTCGTAGTATACCGAACGGAAAGTTCGGAAACTGGAAATTTCGACACAACTACTGAACTGCTTGCTTTGGTGTTTCCAGGCAAGTATGTTCAGAAACACACCCACTGATAGTAGTGATGAACAGTTTACAGGATGTTGGCAACCACTCAGAACAAAATTCTAATGAGTTTCTCAACAGCATACTCAGTAACTCAGTAGAGTATGAAGTCCATGCTTCTAATGTGCGTGTACACTGTACAGTTTCTAAATTCAAAAATTGATATCACTGTTTTGGTAGCTTCTCAAGAATTCCAGAAATCTCATCACCGGAAACGAAATGTCTGCAGTAAAAAATGCAAGATGATATGGTAAAAACTTCCGTAAATGATTTCTGGGGTCATATCCCTGCGTTGTCGTGCAAGTCATGCGATGCAAAATCAAACCGAAACAACCTCTCAAGTTGCATGACTAGCAATTCCCGCTCTGAGAATTCTTTTAGTTTCCCTATATAACGCTCACGGGGTACCAGTCGATCATCGCTCCAAAGGTAAACCGATAAATCACGAAAGATTTGTATCATATCCACCACCGAGTACTGCAGCGTGTACTCCTTAATACCCGCAGGGCGCACTCGCAGACGAACGAACTGAATGCAGTCTGCTAGACTAGCACACGGAACCCAGTTCGAGCAATCGTCACTGGCGGTCAACGGCGGCCGGAAAATGGGAGAAGCTAGTTGATTCCTAAATCAAACCACAGAATGCTTATGCAGAGTTCCAATGAAATTTATGGATGTCAACGTTAAAGGTCATTCGCACCACGTGATGTAAATTCTTCCATCTAAGTCGCTAAACTCGGGAGCAGCCTTGACTACGATTTCCGGTGCGCTGCTAAGACAATCGAATTTATAAATTATACAGTTATTTGCTTTTTAGTGACGTAACCATCGATCGTACCAGAACTTTCCGGGTTCGGACAAGTTAACGGAGGGTAATGCATTTTTCTTGAGCACTCCGTTTGGTTCATAATCAGTCGCGATAAAGTGCTTGCCGCAGACGAATCCCGATACGGAAATCTTCTGGTCTCGCCCGCACAATCGCAGGTATGCTCGTCGCAATCCAGCGTCATTGGGTAAGCCGTGGTAGCGCATTCCGGATGGACGGGGAAGTTTTAATTCAGTATGACACCCGGGCACCAGGCAACGGCGTAGCGGAGCTGCGCTAACCTTCCTCGGCGATGCTCGGTTTCTCTTTATTACTGTGCTCCTGCGGGCAAAACATGCTTTGGTCTGCTTTTTTCAAGTTTTGGTTTCTGCTTGGTCTGCTTTCTTGACCACCATCGTTGAATATTCACCCTAGCGGAAACATTTTTATACCTGATGTCTTCTTCTGCTGACGAAGGTATAATATCCGGTGCCACAATAGTGACCTGCTTTTTAACCGGTTGTTTCTTCTTAACCTTGCAGATGTTTTCTGTAGCAATCGGCCTCGATGCGGACTCTGGTTTGTGGCGCTTATTGGTAGCTTCTTCTACCGCATCAGTTCGTGTTAATTTCACTGTATTAAGGAAATTGTCAACGGTTGTCGGCTCAATACCATCGAAGACCTCATTACAGTTGCGCTGACTGCGCACTCTCTTAATCGTTGGTCTCCTGCGTTTGGTTGTTTTCACTACCACAAAACTGGGGCCCGGTGAATGTGACGGTACAGTCGACGGGGGAGGTGACGGATTGATCAGACGGATACGCGGCCTGTTGACGTCATCGTCTGTCTGGGTTTCAGCGCACACACCCTCCCGGTTGGCAGTTGGCTCGTAATTTGCGTGCGAAAATGTGTCATCGATAATCCGATCGGATTGAACAGGATTCAGCGGTGTGCTGGTGTCCTCGCCGGTCTGTGTGCTTTTTTGCTGAAATCGTATTCGGGTTGGCCGGGGCGGCAAAAACTCTGGGGAAAGAGATTTGCGTTTGGCTTGAACGAAAGTGGAGTCTGCTGAACCGATGGGCTGTGCCCTTCGAATCTTGACAACAAACCTGGTCAAAAGTATTGCAGTTGTTATCGTGCAATGCCTTGCTGGGAAATAACGGTTGACCTTACATTTTGGCTTTCTTTAGCACTTTCTGCGGCTGTAGATCGTTGCTAAGCCTGGTTAATGTTGAGGGCGAGTGCGCTTGGTTGTCGGGTGCCATGTACGGCCAATCAAGGCAGAACAATATAACTAACTGTCAAAATGTCGAAATAATTCCTGAGGTATGCGAAGGTTTGTTGCTCAGTGAAGGGATGTTGAGAGGAGAGCGGGCGTGTTTGATTCGGCACTGATGAAGGAATGCAGTTACGATACGCTTGGTGGATTTGGAAGGCAAACGTATTCAGCTCTTTTTATTGTATAATTTTACATAACCCGAAGCCGGAAAATATTTGGCGACTTTTGCTTGGATTTCACCGGAAGCACTGTTGCCGGTTGCCATGGGATTCCTAAGGAGTGTATTCTGTATTGTGGCAGCGCTTAGCAGCATATCTTTCAGTTTACCACAGGTCCGGTACTTTCCTAGTGTTGCTACAACTGCATGATTGTGATATTTTCAACTACCGCACATAGTAAAAACTGTCAAAGGCAAAATAATGGTAGTCTAATCGAGAACATTACCGGGTCTGAGAGAAATGAAAAACCGACCTAAAACCGTTCATGGAACTGCTGCCGAAAAATAATTCTTTGCGGCATGCGGCAGGGTCTGATCTTATCGAGATAGCATTGCTACTTCTGGCATACTATGACCCTTACTTAATTCGGTTTAAAATTAATTATAATTTTGGTTTTAATCTTATTCACAGATTACTCCAAGCGATGGACAAAATACTGCATCCACGATTTATAGCTTTAGGTACCTGTACTTCCTACCGCACGTCTGTACAAATCTGTACGCAGTTCTCGCATTGCGAGGCGACTTTTGCACCATCGGTCGTTATGAAAGTAGCAATGTACTTCAAACCGTCCCAGTGGTTCGGGTAATGTATCTCGTACATGCAGCACAAGAAATTCATGCCGGACTTTCTCATTTGATATGACTGTACGAGGCATCGTTCTAGGGTAGTGGGTATAATCAATGCCTCTCTGCTCACCACAAAAAATTAAAGCTGACGGAAACATCGGCCTAGTTTTGTTAGATTAAAGAATGTGACAGGGCAAAGAATCTAGCAGTCCTCTTCGCTAGTACCGTTCTCCTTTATTCATATTTTCGTTGCTTCGTGGCAGTTTAGAAAAGACAAAGATCAGAAAACAACACCGCGCTAACTATTGCGTGCCTAAATTCAGCCAGTAGGATATCACAATTTCTGCAGTCTTTCTCAAGCCGTTCTGGTCTCACATATTTGTACTTTGCTGCTCAGTGTATAGTACCTTTGTGCAAATGCGGAAGTTCACGGTGTAGAGACGCTATTATCAATTTATCATGAGAACACCGTAACACGCAATGTGGCAGCAGACACAATAAAATTTAAATTTCGTTCCTTGAACGTGTGGGTTGCTTGGTAGGGATCGGTGAACGTGAACATGACAGTTGCTGTACCTAGAACAATAAGTAGCACGACACTTGCGATGGCGCAAAATCAATGCCGCCCAGCAAAAATCATTACTAACCTGCGCAAGCGTTGGGGGAGTTGCTGCATGCTTTCGGCAAGGCCTACTCGCTGTCACGCGGCCGTTCTTCTTTGGACTAAATCCGAGCGCGTACTGTATCTCGCTACATAATTACTGCTATTACTTGGGCAAAAGAAATCGTAGACGACGGGATATGCGGATAATAATTGGAGCGGTCCGCCGAGCAGTCCATTTATGAAGCATATACATGTATATCTATATGAGGTTTTGTCTTGCAGTTGATGTAAACACTGCGCGCATTTACACGCGCATGATCTCTTCCTTTGGGATCGTATTGTGAGAAAACAATGAGAACCGCCGATTTATCAGTTGTAACAATGGCCATTTGATTCTAAATTGCGTAATTTAATTATGCTGCTGATTTATGATTGATGGTATGCACGAACGCCTGCACTGCATTGATATCGTTTGGCTATATGGCAGTATTCCATAATTAAGCTTGAGATCATGTGAGGCACGCAGAAAAGGCTTTATTAGGAATCAATTTACGTGTTTGTTATTATAGAGATGTTTTTATCAAATGGAACCCATGCCAATTCTACCACTGCCTGGGAATTGCAGTCATATATCGCTCTCAGTGAATTCATCTTGGAGACCATTTTCAACGTGTTCCTACTAATTATGTTGCTGACCTCCCGTAAACTCCACACCGCTTTTAGTGTCTACCTCATCAACTTAACAATTGCCACCCTGTTCTACGTGTTCATCAGCGGTCCAATTGCCATTCTGAACTCGTTGACCGCTTATCATTGGAAACTGGGAGAGCCTATCTGCATCCTGTTCACTTACGCTAACTTCGGTATCCCACCGATTATCGTACATGCACACCTCCTTGTGACAGTAAATCGTCTCTGGGCTATATTGCGCCCGTTGCACTACCAACGTAAGCACAATCCCCGAGTGGCAATCAGCCTATGTATTGGAATGTGGGTCTATGTCCATGTTTTCAGCCTTCCAGGTTTATTACTGGACGCCATGATATATAAAATCCCACTATCACGTGTGGATCTCTGTATCATCAATATGAAGGCCTTGCATTCGTGGATCACCGCGCGGGCGGTTGTTCTGGTGGCGGCTCCGATAACCGGTATGATACTCGCCAATATCTATTTGATCTGCTGGCGGGGACGGCGCTTTAAACGCGGCATCCACACAGTGGTATCGGTGTGCAATCATTCATGCGGAGATTCCTGCGGTTGAGGGCGTTAAGAAGGATCCAAAGCGGGCGCTATTGTTACTGGCTGGGCTGACGCTTAGCACGGCAGTCTGCTGGATTCCCGGCACGTCCTATAATATCTACAGGATGTTAACGAACGAGCAACCACATAATGTCACGTTTTTGAGAAGGTGGCTGCACGTAGGCGGGATTACGTTTTCTTTGCAAACCATTGTCGATCCGGTCGTCATCATGCTGACGTTCAAGAATCTGCGCATTGTTGTTGAGGATTACCTAAAGCGGGTGTTTGCGTCCTTGCGTGGCAAATAAGACTGTTATCCAGCAGACCAGCACGCTGTGTACCGAGTAAAGAGTAATTAGGTCGGACTGTTATTAAATGCACTGAAAGTCGGAAACAGCTTTGATCTTGACGTTCACGTTCACATCTCTATCCTGTATGTGCGAATGATAATATGCCGTATGTTACAGTGCAGTGCAATGTGGGACTAACACATCTGACATTACCCACCCAAGGTACTGTATGGCATTGTCACCTGTGGGTGTTACCTCCGCACTGCAGTTCCTTTTATCATCTGCCTGGTGACCTCGTGGTTAGAAACTTATTTTTGCCTCTCGTATAATACAGGATTCATACTTTTCTGTTTTTCTTGACACAGAAAAAGGTTTTTCTGTTTCACGAGGAAAACATTTCGAAAAAAGTTTTTCTGTGAAGACTTTTTTAGCACACCAGTTTTCCAGTTCTTGCTCATACTTCAAAAATCGGTTTCCAATTCTTCCCCTCGTTTTTAACCACAAAATATTAAAAACAAGATTTGAAATAATAGCAAAGCACTTTCGGCTGAGTACTCTGCTAAGTAAATATGAAAAATTGTAATTGTAAAGATTTGGGCAGCTAATTATTATCAATTACCAATGCACCTATTATCACACAAAGATTGGCAAGTCCACGCTTTCTGTAAATCTCGGTAACTAGAGTATATTTTCTGTATGTACAATTGTACGCGTATAACTGTATTATTACGTTATGGCGCTAGTGCGACCGGAACTTGCATACCGTAATTAGGTTGTGACACTGTAATGATATTGTTATTAAATTTGTGAAAGTTCTCTGAAGTATTACAGTACTGACCTAATGATTACAATATTGTATGCCGCTGAAGTGTTATTATTGTACTATACATCTCTGCCCATATTGGTCGTCATTGGTCGAAGGCAAAACATTTCTGGTTTTGCAAATGATTTTGATTTTCCGAAACATTTGGCAAAACAGATGACTTTTTCGAAAATGTGTAGCATGTTCATACTTTCTGTGAGATGCACACAGA